CTCGACAATGAGCTCAACAATGCACCCGTTCACCGTTTGCGAGGCTTCAACAATATCAACGTGCAAGAGGACAACGTGTCCGCTTGGAGGAAGTTCAAGAAGGCCAACTCGGCATTTTTCGGCTCCTTGTGGCACGCGATGCAAGCGATATGGTCCAAGAAGGCCCGAGAAGACCGCGAGAAGCAGCGTCTTGCTCGCCAGGAGGCCGAGATGCCTCGCCGGTCGATCGAGACACAGCGCCAGTCGTTCATGTCGACGCGTGACGAAGACATTCAGATGACCCCTGTGCCTTCTCCGATGCCTCGCCAGAACCTCGAACTACCCAACGAGCACGACGAGAGGCGCGCGCACCAACAGAAACAGCTGAAAGGCGACGTCATTAACCGAGAGCTGCCAGTCAAGGGCAGTGCTCGTTTCCACCGGGATGCCTGGAAAGATCTCAGAGTCGGCGATTACGTGCGAATCTACAACGACGACGAAATTCCTGCCGACATTGTCATCCTGGCGACCTCCGACCCAGAGGGTGCGTGCTATGTCGAGACGAAGAACTTGGATGGTGAGACGAACCTCAAGTTCCGTTCGGCTCTGCGATGCACTCGCTCTATGAAGCACGCCAGGGATGCCGAGCGAGCGCAGTTCTGGATGGACAGTGAAGCGCCTCAGGCCAACTTGTACAAGTACAACGGCGCCATCAACTGGCAACAGAAGTTTGACGGTCTCGACTCGGAACCCCACAACATGGTTGAACCCATCACCATCGACAACATGCTCCTTCGTGGCTGCAACCTGAGAAACACCGATTGGGCTCTTGGTATTGTCATGTTTACCGGGCACGACACCAAGATCATGATCAACTCGGGTATCACGCCTAGCAAGCGCGCTCGCATAGCACGCGAGCTCAACTACAATGTTATTTGGAACTTTGGCATCCTGGTAGTCATGTGTCTTACGGCCGCCATAGTCAACGGTACATCGTGGGCTAGGACCGATCGGTCACTGTCATTCTTCAACTATGGATCCATAGGAGGTTCCGCTCCAATGACCGGATTCATCACTTTCTGGGCCGCCATGATTTTCTTCCAGAACTTGGTCCCCATCTCTCTCTACATCACGCTGGAAATTGTGCGTCTGCTGCAGGCCATCTTCATCTACAGCGACGTTGAGATGTACTACGCCCCAATCGACCAGCCGTGTATCCCCAAGTCCTGGAACATCTCAGACGACCTGGGTCAAATTGAGTACATTTTCTCCGACAAGACCGGTACCCTGACGCAGAACGTCATGGAATTCAAGAAGGCCACAATCAACGGTCAGCCGTACGGCGAGGCGTACACCGAAGCGCAAGCTGGCATGCAGAAGAGGATGGGCATCGATGTTGAGAAGGAGGGCGAGAGAGCAAGGGCCGAAATTGCAGAGGGCAAAGTACGGTCCCTTGAGGGTCTCCGCAGGATCCACGATAACCCGTACCTGCACGACGAGGATCTGACCTTTATCGCGCCTGACTTTGTAGCCGACTTGGCTGGCGAGTCTGGACCCGAGCAGCAGGCCGCCAACGAACACTTCATGCTTTGTTTGGCTCTGTGCCACACTGTCATTGCAGAGCGACCACCCAGCGACCCTCCCAAGATTGTTTTCAAGGCGCAGTCCCCCGATGAAGCTGCGTTGGTCGCCACGGCGAGAGACATGGGGTTTACCGTGCTCGGCACCTCAGCCGAGGGTGTCAACCTCAATGTTATGGGCGAGGAGCGCCACTACCCGATCATGAACACGATCGAGTTCAACTCGAGCCGCAAGAGGATGAGCATCATCCTTCGCATGCCTGACGGCCGCATTCTCCTGATTTGCAAGGGCGCCGATAGCGTGATTTACTCCCGTCTCAGGCGCGGAGAGCAGGCCGAACTCAGGAGATCCACAGGCGAGCATCTCGAGATGTTTGCTCGGGAGGGACTGCGGACCTTGTGCATTGCGCAAAGAGAGCTCAGCGAGGGCCAGTACAGTGCCTGGCTTGAGGAACACAACGCCGCAGCTGCTGCGCTTGACGACCGAGAGGAGAAGTTGGAGGCGGTCGCGGACCGTCTCGAGCAGGACCTCACCCTCCTCGGTGGCACCGCTATCGAGGACCGACTCCAAGACGGCGTCCCTGACACCATCGCCCTGCTCGGCCAGGCAGGCATCAAGCTCTGGGTTCTTACTGGTGACAAGGTCGAGACAGCCATCAACATTGGTTTCTCGTGCAACCTGCTGAACAACGACATGGAGTTGATCCACCTCAAGATTGAGGAGGACGAAACAGGGGATACTCCCGATGACGTGTTCCTCACTCAAGTCGATGAATTGTTGGACACACATCTGCAGACCTTCGGCATGACCGGCAGCGATGAGGAACTGGTCAAGGCCAGGGACAACCATGAACCTCCCGACGCTACTCACGGTCTCGTCATCGATGGCTTCACGCTCAAATGGGTACTGCACGAGTCACTGAAGCAGAAGTTCCTCCTCCTGTGCAAGCAGTGCAAGTCGGTCCTGTGCTGCCGTGTCAGCCCCGCCCAGAAAGCCGCTGTCGTGTCGCTTGTCAAGAATGGTTTCGATGTCATGACCCTGTCCATCGGTGACGGCGCGAACGATGTAGCCATGATCCAGGAGGCAGACGTCGGTGTTGGAATTGCTGGCGTGGAGGGTCGGCAGGCCGTCATGTCTTCCGACTATGCCATTGCACAGTTCCGTTTCCTCCAGAGACTGGTTCTGGTACACGGCAGATGGTCCTACCGTCGACTGGCCGAGTCGATTTCCAACTTCTTCTACAAGAACGTCATCTGGACATTTGCTCTGTTCTGGTATCAGATCTACTGTGACTTTGATATCACATACATCTTCGACTACACCTACATCCTCTTCTTCAACCTGTTTTACACCTCGGTCCCTGTCGCCATAATGGGCGTCCTCGATCAAGATGTCTCTGACAAGGTCTCCTTGGCAGTGCCTGAGCTATACCGTCGTGGCATCGAGCGACGGGAGTGGACTCAGACCAAGTTTTGGTATGTGCTATAGGTATTTATGACCCTTGGGCTACGCAAGACTAACAGTGACGCAGGCTCTACATGGTGGACGGCATCTACCAATCTGTCATGGCTTTCTGGATTCCTTACCTGACTGTGGTATCAACAAGCTTCGTCACCTTTAACGGTCAGAATATCGAAGACCGCACGAGACTGGGCGCCTACATCGCTCACCCCATTGTCCTCACAATCAACATGTACATTTTGATCAACACGTACCGGTGGGATTGGTTCATCGTGCTGTGCGTCGTCATCAGCGACGCCATGATCTTCCTGACGACTGGCATCTTCACGGCGCAGACCTCTTCAGGTGCCTTCTACGGCGCCGGCGCGCAGATCTACAGCCAGGCCTCGTTCTGGGCCGTCTTGTTCATCGTGCCCGTCGTCTGCCTCTTCCCCCGATTCGCGATCAAGGCACTGCAGAAGGTGTACTTCCCCTACGACGTCGACATTATCCGCGAGCAAGAACGACAGGGCAAGTTCGCGCACCTCAACCAGGCACCGCTGGATAAGGAAGTCGATGCCACAACGGCCGGACGATCGAGCGCCCGAGCGTCGACGTCGTCTGACAGCGAGCCAAAGGGTAAGCACATGCACTATGCCAGCGTCGACGAAGACAGAAGACCAATCTATCCCCCCTCAGTTGCGACGCGTACGACGCACAACCCACGAAGCCAGAACGGTAGCGATGGCACGAACTACACGGGGCACCGCATGTCGTTGGACTTGGCGCCTCCCATTCGGCCTTCTTTCGACCGAGCTCGCCCATCCTACGACCGAATCCGGGCATCGATGGACCGCGTCCGGCCCAGCTTCGAGGCAAGCAGCGATTTCACATCGGCTGCACGGCTGTCACGAATCGAGTCGAGCCAGTCTGCCGGTCACCTCTTCCACCGACGCTTCCGCGGGCTGTCCACGTCCAAGAGCGCCAATCAATGAGTCGGCCAGACTGCTCGCCTGGTGAGGATCGCGACTTTTTTATCTGTTCGCTATTCTCTCCCCTTTTTGTACCATACTCCTGCGTACACACGACGCCCTGTCTTTCTCCTTGTTCCATCAATCCACAACAACACCGACACAACACACCCGCATCACCACCATGACAACATTCGGCGCGCCGACCTCTCTTTAGCCTCTGCTTTTGGTTGATACCTCCCAATGCATGACGATTTGCATGAGCGACCGACGACATCACCGCGCTCGCAGCACAGCGACACTGCTCTTTCTGCCTCGACTCACTTGACTCGATTTTCTTCTTTTGCGCACTTTGCCTCGTACGTTCTTGTCCTTGTTCTTCTGCTTCTCTCGTAAAGGGCGTTCCGGATTCGGCGTTTCCACGGCCAGGAGGGCAGGAGGAAAGCCTGTGAGGGGGGCTGCATTTTTGTACGAGTTTTCCTTGGGGATCTTAGATACCTCCGACAGGTGGAAGAGTGGAAGGAAAAGACGACGTGCTGAATAGAAGCTTCTCCTAATTACCAAGACTCTCTCATCTGCGGGCATCAGCCGGCAACCCTTGCACGAGCAAGGTCAACAGAGAGAGCGCGGTTGTTTATTGTTGGCAGGTTTTTTTTCCTCCTCAGAGGAGGCCTGCCTTGTATATACCAAAGGAGAAGCAGAGTGAAGTCTACAATTTCCGCGCGATGTCAATATGTGAACATGTGCAGTGAAGTGACAAAGTCGCGTGTAGGTATCTACCTATGGTGAGTGGGTACGACACTGACTTATGTAACCTGGCAAGGCCCAGCCAGGTCTGCTCTCGGCAGGCACGCTCACTCGCTGGTGCCCTCCTGACTTCCACCTCGGAACATGCCACCACCAGACGGCACCTACGGCCTTTTCGCAATGCACATGGGCCGTTGTGACTTCTGCCTCCGCTTCTGCAGTTGCATTTCCCACCCGGCAGCTTAACGAACTTTGGCTCGATCAATTGGCCTGCTGGATGACATGGAAACCGCCTTGAGGTTGGAGGCCGCAGAGCTATGGTGGGAGCAAGCCACGTCCCGGCTGGCTTCATGGCTCCAAGCGATACCGTGAGTAGTACGCCCCTGTTCGCCCTTTTGCATCGGGATTGGCACTGACGGATCGCGAAGCTTCACAGCTGTCAAGGTTGTAGTAGCCGCCATGGCCATCGTTTTCAGTCTCTGGGCCGTCCGCGAAGCTAGGATCAGCGAGGAGGAGAGGACCAAGAAGTACACTGTCCCTCCACCAAAGACGCCTGCCGACTACTCCACGGTCGAAGAGACAAATATCAAGGTGCGCGTGCTCTCCCAACTCCCTGAATAACTAGCGGGCGGGCCGGTCATCCTGTTGAGCGAACACTTGGGCTGATACTTCGTGTGCCCAGCTGCCCGGCTCCTCCGCGATTCACTGCTACGCCCCCGCGACGGGACAGTTCCTCGGCCTCATCAACCCCTCGACACCCGACTCGATCGACCGCGCACTCGATGCCGCCCACACTGCTCAGGCAAAGTGGCGCGCCACCTCGTTCCACGCACGGCGCAACGTCCTGCGAACCATGCTCCAGCACATCCTCGACAATCAGGAGGCTATCTGCCGCGCCGCGTGCCTCGACTCGGGCAAGACCATGGTCGACGCCCAGATGGGAGAGATCCTCGTCACGGTCGAAAAGCTCATGTGGACCCTGAAACACGGCGAAAAGGCATTGCAGCCCAGCCGCCGGCCAACCAACTTCCTCATGGCGTACAAGAAGAACGAAGTGCGATATGAGCCGCTCGGTGTCGTCGCTGCCCTTGTCAGCTGGAACTACCCCTTCCACAACCTCATGGGTCCCATCATTTCGTCCATCTTTGCCGGCAACGGCGTGCTCATCAAGGTTTCGGAGCACACAGCCTGGAGCTCGCAGTACTTCACATCCATCGCGCGAGGTGCCCTCGTCGTCCACGGCCACGACCCCGGCCTGGTCCAGACCGTAGCGTGCTGGCCGCAGACGGCATCGCATATTACGTCCCATCCGCGCATCGCTCACTTGACCTTCATCGGCTCCAAGCCCGTCTGTCACAAGGTGGCCGCTTCAGCGGCCAGATCGCTCACGCCCCTCGTGGCGGAGCTCGGCGGCAAGGACGCCGCCATCATTCTCGACTCAGCGGCGGGCGATCTTGCGCGCATCGTCGAGATTCTGCTGCGCGGGACTTTCCAGGCCTCAGGGCAAAACTGTATCGGCATTGAGCGTATCATCGCAACTCCTCAGGTTTATGACCAGCTGGTCGAGGCCCTCGAGCCCCGCGTGCGCTCTCTGAGGCTTGGCCCCACCGCAGACGTCGGCGCCATGGTCTCCGATGCCTCGTTCGACCGACTCGAGTCTCTTGTTGAAGCAGCAGTCAAGGACGGTGCCCGCCTCCTCGCCGGCGGCAAGCGTCACGCCCATCCGGATCATCCCAAAGGGCATTACTTCATGCCCACTCTCCTCGCCGACGTGACTCCGTCCATGGCCGTCGCTAACGAGGAGTGTTTCGGCCCCATCATGACCCTCATGCGCGCCCCTGCCTCCACGGCGCCCTCCGTGCTCGCCGTCTCCAACGCTGCGCCCTTTGGCCTCGGCGCCTCTGTCTTCGGTTCCGATGCCGACCCCGTCCTGCTCGCCGTCGTCGACGGCCTGCACACGGGCATGGTCGCCGTCAACGACTTTGCCGTCTACTACGCCGTCCAGCTCCCCTTTGGCGGCGTCGGCGGGTCCGGCTACGGTCGCTTCGCCGGCGAGGAGGGCCTGCGCGGCCTCTGCAACGCCAAGAGCATCTGTCGGGACCGCATCGGCTCGCTCGGCGTCCGCACCTCCATTCCCCCGCCTGTGCGCTACCCCGTGGCCGACCAGGAAAGGACCTGGCGGTTCACACGAGGCATCGTCGACCTCGGCTACGGGCTGTCCCTGGGCCGCAAGGGGAGCGGTCTCTGGGGAATGGCCCGGAACGCTTGAGCCTGTGGAGGTTGCTCCACGGCCGATGGCCCTGGTGTCGTGACGCCGAGGGTTCGCTTTTGTCTTTGTGCTGTATGAATGAACAATGAGACGTATAGATAGATACCTGGCCCGTGGGCCTTTGATAATAGATGACTGTGCGAGATGATCAATCCGTCTCTTGGGTTGCTTACGATGCCTGTCCGGTCCGTCAGCTTTGCTACCAACGCGCCCATCGAGCATGTGACTCGGTCGGACTGTCCATGTAGACTTGGCCGACCAACCAGCGGGCGACGCTCCAAGTCACCCAAGTCACCCTACAGTCGTGCATATAGGTCACCTATCGAGCGTATCACCAGGCGTCGCTACCAGGCCTTCGAGTTTTATTTCATTCGAGTATCTATCTTGTCTTGCAGAGCCTTCTGCTTAGACACTCCGTTCGATCGCCTCATATCACCACGACATTTCCCCTAGGTAGTGAGAGGTGGACTGGCTAACCGCGTCCTCTTGAGGGCCCAAGCTGGGGCTCATGTTGAACTCCAGAAGCATCATGACCCCCTTACCAGGCGGCGGCGGCGGCAGGAGCGCCCCAAGCATCACCGCCATCTGCGGCGGACTCCTTGTTGCCAGCATCATCATTCTTCTTGCCCCAACCGCCATCGTCGTCATCACCGTTGGCGGTTCCGCCGTTGTCCTCACCTCCGTCAGCGTTGCCACTGCCCCAGGCATCGTCTCCACCCTGCTCAAAAGACTCGCCGCCATGGCCGGCGGCACCAGCAGGACGGTCCTCTTCGTTGGAGGCGGTCTCCCACTTGAGGTTCTCAAGATCATCACCCTCGGGCATGAAAACCTGAAGGAAATCGGGAATCTCCTGGTCGGTCTCGAGGAGAGTTCGTACAAGCACGCTGCCAATGCCATCATCTCGATCAGCGCAGTAGAGAGACGTGGCAATGCCCCTGTGACCAATGCGGCCAGTGCGACCTGGGAGAACGGGCGGTGGTTAGCAAGCGCCAGGCCATCGTTCGGATATCTAGACATACCGATTCGGTGGACATACTCCTCGATTCCACCATGATCGACAGAGGGAAGGTCGTAATTGATAACGTGGTTGACGTTACGTACATCAATGCCACGGGCCATGACACCAGTTGCGACGAGAATAGGCGAGGTTCCGGCGCGGAACGCACGCATGGCGCCCTCACGTTCGAGTTGGGTGCGATCAGAGTGCATAGAAGTGCACGGGTAGCCTGAGTTGAACAGAAAGTCGTCAAGCTCATCGGCAACTCGCTTCGAATTGACGAATATGATCGTTCGACAGGGGTCGAGAGCTTCAATGACCTCCTTGAGAACCGTTCTCTTGGTCTCGGGGAGGACCTCCACAACCCGCTGCAAGATATTTCCATGGGTGCTGCCAATGCGCCCCACGTTGATCTGGCTGTGCGATGCAGCCAGATGGCTGCGAGCCAGGTCCCGAAGGTCCTTCGGGAAAGTAGCAGAAAAGAGGAGATATTTAACGTTTCCCTCTTCCTGCTCTGGAAAGAAGAGTTTCAAATCAGTAAAGCTTCAACCGCTGCGAGGAAGGACACGTACCGCCACCAGACATGATGGTGTTCAGATCTTGGCCCCAGTCATCGTGGAGCATCTCGTCGGCCTCATCAATGATCATATACCGGACCCGACGAAGTGTGAGCACATGAGGGCGGTCGATGAAATCACAGAGACGGCCAGGAGTGGCAATGAGAATGTCACAGCCCTTGCCGAGCTGCTCAATCTGGTCGCGTAATGGGCCTCCACCGTAGGCGACGCAAGGGCGAAGCATGGTACGGTAACAAAACTTGCGAGCTTCGTTGAAGATTTGGACCGCCAGCTCACGAGCTGGGCATACGACAATGACAAGAGGCTCAGCACGAACGGACTGCGAAACGCCGGGTACAAAGGATGCTGGGTTTGGTCGAGGAGCCGCCAACTTTTTGGCTTTGCCCATCAGCTTGTCCAAGACAGGAACGAGATAGGCTGCAGTTTTGCCAGAACCTGATCGAGATGTTAGTATCGTGAGCGGAAGAGGGTCACGGGCAAAGCCACCGACCAGTTTGGGCGATGGCCACAATATCCAAGCCTTTGCGAACAGCAGCTAAGGTGTACTGCTGAATGGGAGTAGGAACGCGGTATCCCGACATCTCGACGTTTTTGAGCATGGTAGGGTGCAAGCCTGCGCTGGCAAAGTCTTTGATGGGCTCGATTCGCACATCGCCGCGCTGCTGGACCTCGATCTCGGTGATTCTGGGGTTTGTTAGCAAGAGCAGCAAGGAACATGAGAGCATGTCCGTGCGTACCGATCATACGAGATTCCAGTATTGTTGAGACCACGCTCGGCGGGCGGGCCGAAGAGTTGCAATTCGAGCTCGGGAAATTCAGGTCCCACGTCGCCGAATTGCTCCATGTCAAACTCATAGACACGAGCATTGCTCTCCCAATTGACCGGGACCTCAGGACCCTGTTGAGCAAGCTCCTCGTAATCGTACGGAAGCGGGTTGGCCCATTTCTCTGCGTGCTCGGAACGGCCCTGAGGGTGCTGGGCACTGCCTTCGGGCAGGGCAGCTCGCAGAGTGCCCGTATCCATGGAGTCAGACATTCCCGATGGTGTATGCGATCGCGCTGCGTGGGTGAAGGAAATGTTAGACGAAGCCTTATGGAAGGAGCCATAATGAAAACGCGAGGAAAGAGCATGGCAACGCTTAATGACGCCTATGTTGAGGGTCAGGGGCAGGAGATAGCGTCTTACCTCGACGTTGACTCAATGAAACGCGACCAACTGGTGTTCGATGTCAGCGGATCGATAATCAATATTCAGGTAGAAGGACTGGGAAGGTATACAGGATCAGCTGAACTGATTCTATATATGTGGCCGTGCTGATGTCTGGGCATCAATGAGGTCGTTGAGAGGCAAACAGAGTGAAGTCTTGCCTGGTGAATAGAGATGGGAAGGGGGGCCGGGAAAGGGCAGAAGGAAACAATGAGCAACGATGGTGGGCTGAACGATGTTGGATAAGCGCCTGAGATAGAAAGGATACATACCTCTTCGCAATATCAAGAGTGCTGGTCTGGGAAGAGACTGTGGGGATGGCGTGGTCTCTTGATGCGCAAGAAACTGGTGGTGATGGTGATGGTGAAGATAGGGCAGATGAGGCACTCGCCAGGTAAACAAGAAGAAGGAACAGAAGAAGAAGAAGGGCGTGGGGAGATGCGGGCCACGCAGATGGGCTCAGTGGTATGGTGGTGCCTATTTGGTTCTCGACGCCGGGAAGGGACTACCAGCGGTGTCGTCGAGGAGAGCGGGCAAGTCAACGGACGGTGCTTACCTCACCTAGCAAGCGGCTACGATACCTTCATCGGTTGTACTCCGTTAGTGGTTGGACCCATTCTGTGTGAGGTGCTGCACGCTGGTTACTTTCAGCGCTTGGAACGCGGTCATAAGGGGTAACTGAACGGCCTCAAAGAGGGCACTGCAGTCGACAAAGATAAGACACCCTTCACGATGATATTCGTACACCGCATTATGATAAGTCCGGCCCCGGAAGAGTGCGTTCAATAACTTCATTAATGGCTAGCGGGCTGTCACAGCCAGGCCCAAGGTACTGAGTGCCATGGTTTCACTTCAAGTGTTGTAGGACTGATGACACGGACTTGAGGCCGACGTGTGGGGCTATCAACTGATTGATGCCGACAGATGTCTCTGACTGATGGCCACGTAAGGGGCAGTAGAGATCACGCTCATGCTTGGTTTAGCGAGCGATTGACGAGAGCCGTTGTGGCGCAAACCGACTGGACGTAGGATTCGCCTCCAAGGCATGAAACGTTTCAACGTCATGGTAGAGCAGTTCAACCAGAGGCCATGCCCCTCTGTGCTGCCCGCAAGCAAGTCGTGTTCTCAGGTCATGATTATCCCTGTGCACTATGGGCATTGGAATTCGCTCCAAGCCTTTACATCCAGAAGGCCTCGCCCACAGGCAGGCACTGCTAGGTTACCGGGTGAAGCCGGGGGTGGTGACCCTCTTGAGATGGATTCGAGAATTTGGCAGCTGAACCAACAAGCTCACCAGAGATCAAGAAGATCTTGTGGATCGACTGCTGTCGTCGGCTCGAACCCCTGCATGCCGTCTCTCATGGCCTTTTCAAGCAACGAGCCGGCCCGCCCAATGGTCCCACCCTCCTTTTTGGCCTGCTCGATCCCCTTGGCGAAAGACGTCTCAAATCTTCGGTTGAAGACGCGCTGTCGCGATTCTCGGTCCTCGTACATCTCGGCTTCTTCGTCCCGTCTGGATCCGAACAGGTTGAGATACGCAAAGGCGTGTGGCGTGCGAGGAACGCGGTAGATGCTGTCCCAGTAGGCATTTGTGTTCCTCTGCGGGGACGCCTCGGCCTTGAGACCGACCTCGACAAGCTTCGTCAAGACATTGAACTGGCGTGTGCGAGACTCGGCATCTTTGGCTTTCAACCCGGCCTTGGGCGCCGCCGTCCAACCCTTGGCGGCAGATACGGACCAGCCCATGAGAGCGCAGAAGCTGTTGATCGTTTTCACCCAGCCGCCAGGGCACGACACGGTTTCCTCCGGGGCGACTGTGAGCAGCCAGTCCAGAACGGAGAGGGCGTCGTTGCTAATGTCGACGGAGAGATGGGTCATGCCGGCCCGAACATACATGACGCACCTGTCGGCGTGATTCCTGATCTCTCCTCCGGGAAGCTCTTGCATCAGCTTTAGCAGCTGAAGGCGTACGGGTCCTGAGGCGTCGGAAATCAGGGGCAGCACCTTGGCGAGCACGGACGCGGTTCCGATGGGGTTGCTGCCGGAAGCGACCTGTGTCGTCAGGTTCGCGAGCGCCTCGCGGCGCGTCTTCTCAGAGCGGGACGTCGTGGCGAGCGACAGACTGTGCTTGAACTGGGCGGCTGTCTCTGGTGCTTCCGTGGAGAGGCTCTGTTGGCCCATGCTGATGGACTTTGACTTGAAACTGGTATCGGTGAAGTTGGCAGGCTTGGCCTTGGCCTTGCCGACCTTCAACTTCGTTTTCTGTTATATCGTCAGTGGAATGGTCGGCGCACAAAGGATGCCCTGCGCTTTAGTCCCGCGGCTTGCCTGCTGAGCTCGTCAAGTCAGTCTCATACCTGGAAGTCCTTCGCCTTCTCCTTCTTCTTCCGCATGCTGGAGCCCATTTTGGCTGGCGTAGATTGATTTGATATATAGAGAGATGAATTTTTAAGACTTTTGTTCTTCAAACGAAATGAAGCTACGGTGAATTGCTGATGCGCTGTTCATCACCGATCTCCAACAGCTGGTTCTCGGTCCATCACATTGAAAGGATCTTGCATTGAAACTTTTGGCGGTGAGCTGCGGCAGAATATGACCCCAAGGCGGCCCCCACCATTGGGAGCTTGGGCCGGTGTTCTAGGTGTCCCGCTACCACCATACCTCCATCCAGGCCGCCCAGACACATCCATATCGCACCCTGTCCTCCGCTGTCGGTTGCTCCTATTTCAATCCGCCCTTCTGAAGCCCAACGGACTTGAAAAGGGGACAAGAGCTTCTACAATGGTCGACACCCTTACGGCACGCTCCATCCCACCACCCACCCCCTCCTATACGCGGGCTGACCCTTCACAAAACAGACCAACGGCCACGACGCCCTCGACGAGAAACTCACCCGACTCTCCCAGAAGCAAGGCGTCAAGGCGACAGTTGTCCTCGACCGCGCTTCAGGCGCCATACTGCGCACCACAGGCCAGCTGTCCACGCTGAACGCAGCAGCGGCGGCGCTCGCAGGGTCTGGGCAGGGCAGCGCTGCTACAGCGCCGGGCGGGGAGGGACAGGCGCTTGACGGTTTCGCGGCAAAAGTCTGGGCCTGGGTGAACGCCTCGGGTAGTCTGGTCGAGGAGCTGGATGCAGAGGTGAGCAGGGCCACTGCATATGTGCCTGACAGAACACTGGAGAGAGAGAAAAACCCGTGCTAACAGGAGGACGGCAGGACGAGCTGAAGCTCCTGCGACTAAGGACGAAGAAGCAAGAGTTGGTGATTGTTCCCGACGCGAGATATTTGATGATTGTCGTCCACGATACGCCGCCGGCCTGACGATGCGGGCGGCACTGGTTTAGGGACATGAGGAGAGAAATGGAAGTTCGTGCATCGCAATGGCTACCGACAGGATGCTCTAGGCAAGGGTACGAGCATGGTCACAAATACACAATTACGTTGACGGGCAGCCTGGGCGTCAGAAGATGGACGCCGGCTGGCGGATGCAGGGCTGGCAGCGTAGCGTGACGGACGAGGCACGGCGTCGAGCGAGAGATACCCCATACCAAACTTGCTTTCAAACTCTCCTATTCTGCCGCCTGAAGAACGGCGCGGAAACCCATGTCGAGCGAAGCGAGACCATATAGCGCGCAGCCTTAAGGTCGCATCTTCATGCCGTTGGGCGGCACAATGTGTGGCCACTTCGATTTGCTACATTGTATCGTATCGTACGAACCCAACGGTCGGCGCGGTTGCGCGTCACGAGATGAAGGGTGTGGTGTCGCAGTCTGAATCCTAGCTTGACACTGCCGGTCGTAGGTTTGAGAGTGCTCCGCTGGCGGTGAAGTGCGCCACAGTGCCGTGCCCTCACATGCCGTGTCGTGGTTTTGTGTTTCAGGGGTTGGCGACGTCATGCGTGCTGGTGGGAAATGAGGGAGGGAGTGTGTTAGGTTGATGAAGGGGTCATCTGATACTGGTGGCATCACCCTCCTGCTTCCATTCTTCCAGGCGTCCAGGGCTGAAGATGCTGGTGGTAACGGAGCCGATTTGTCAGGCTCGGGTCAGATTGGCTTGATCCGATCTGAAGGGCGGATGTCTGCCGCTTGGCAAAAGAGGCAGCTGTGACGTCCCCCCGTCCCTTTTGATCGTCGCCTCGCCCACTGTAGACAGGCAGAAATCCAGCAGAAATCCAGTGGTGAGGGGTACCTATGACAGGACGCGGTTGTGCGGCTGCCAGGAGGGCTGAAGAATAAGATGAGTCCAGACAAGCATAGCGACGAGGGGCGGGGCCCTGCAAGAAGAAACGTAGTGTTCATACCGAGCTGTGGCATTGTGTAGACGCACCCACCTGCCTCCCTCATGGGCGTTGGGTAGAGGTGGGTACCTACTATCTGATGCTCAACATGGTGAAAGCCAGATTGACGGAGGTTCGCGGTCCCTGCCCCCTCCAGCGACGTCGCGGAGTCCACAATGTGCTGAAATTAGCATCAGGGCTAGCGAGTTCTAGCGATTTAGGGAGCCAGAGTGGAGGCTCGACAAACACGTCGAGTGCGCTGGAGATTGCAAATGACGAGGATCCGGCTCTGAGACGGCTGCGGTGCCCCATGTTCCCACGCTTCCAACACGGTGGCCCCGCGATGCCAAACCAGCGATCCCGAAGCACCTCCCAGGGCCATGATGCGCGATGGACCCGTCCGTCAACGACGATCAGGAGTTGCTGTGTTGCAGACGTCAATTCCCGAACCCGCCAACAATACCGATGCAAATGGCCTAGGCGCCACTGACTAGGTGTGCCGGGGGCGCAGGCGAGGGGGGTTGCAGCGACATGGGTTCGTTGGGTTGTGTTGAAGCTAAGGTTGAGCAAGGCGGAACTGAAAGGATGGACACTTGGTGGTGAGGCACAAAGATCAGGTTTCCAGGTTTCTGCAAGTTTGACTGTGAGCCGCCAACAGGACACAATCAGACAGGCCTGGCCTGCCCATTTGACTTCCCATATGTTTCACGTCCTTGAACCCTTTCTTGCCCCCCCCCCCTCCCCTTCCTTCGCTAAGAGCTTTTCCAAATCTACTCGATATCTTGTTTACATGTTGCCTTTCTCGTCCATTTCTGCATCCTGCTGATCGCTCACCTCTTCGCACCTCGCACCTCGCCCCTCGCCCCTCGCACCTCTCGCCTCTCGCCGGCCAGCATCGCACCCTACACCACTTACACCAACTGCTAGTCCCCGCACCGGCAACTGTGGCTCACGTACGAGGCAAGCCAAGCGCGAAGCATCCGGCGAGCCACAGATTGGCATGCCGTCCCTCTCGATCCTCCGACGCGGTTCCAGGTCGCAGGCGCAGCGAGGCGGAACGAACGCAGCAAGAGGTGACCCGCCAGTCGACAGTGCCAGCACGGCACCAACTTCTCCGGACAGCAACAATGATGGCGAGAGCGGTAGCGAGCGTGAGAGACGCGGCACCAAGCGGGAGATCATCCAGGACTTCTTGAACCGAACCAGAGGACGAGCCGGGCCGGGATCCAGCGCTTCGTCCCAGGGCCAGACGCAAGCACGACCAAAAACGGCGGCAGCACAGACGCCGACGCAGACGCAGACGCAGACTTCGATACAGACTTCGACGACACAGGCACCATCATCCGGCGGCCCAACCGAGGCGTCGGGAAGTGGCGGCCGGCGCGGCCACGGAAGTAAAGGAAATGGCAGTAGCAGTCGAAGTGGGGAGAAACAGAGGAAGGCTCGACCCACCGTAGAGCAACCTGCCGGCCCTGTAAGTTCAGCCCCAGATCCAGATCCAGAACCCGCGCCAGGAGCCAGGAGCCACTTGATGACCCCACTTCCACGTCAGACGGGTCCCAGTGGAGCCCCGCACTGCCATACTGGGTAGCACTTCCCCTCCACTACCACTACCACCACCACCACCCACTGCCCACTACCACTTCCCACTGCCTATCCTCCATCGTCTGTGCCTGCCTACACCCGCACCCGCACCTGCACCGAAGCTCTAGCCAGGTAGTAGGACGGCACCATGTCGGAGGGCGAGTCGAAGGCGAGTCGAAGGCGAGTCGAGCCACAACACGGCATCGTGCCCGTCTGGTTTCCCCTCACCCCAACCACTACATGGTTCAGCGACCACCACCTTAGCCACGGCGGCACGACGCGGCACTCTCACTTCTGTGCGAGTAAAGAAGTAGTGGAACAGCACCCGGCGCAGACAAAGGATCATCAGACCACCCCTCCGTGCCCGGCTGTTGCCTTCTTGGCACCCATTCCACGCCGTCGATCCCCTGCCACATCTTGCACTTCCCCTCGCGTGACCCTCGACTCCTCCTCAAGTCTGGCTGCCACCATTCACTCCATCTTCTGCTCAAACAACTACCCCATTTCCCAACCCACAACGCCAGTCGTTCGGTCGTCAGCCCATGCCGCACGACGGACAATTGTGTGTTTGGATCCCCCATTGACTTTCCATCTGCATCGTCTGAACCTTGAAGCGCATTCCAAAATCCATCTAATCCCTGGTTTCAGATCCCGACAGCCCGATCACCACCCAATTCGAACAAACCCCTTCCTTTCCCGCCTCCCCCGGACGCCGAGGACACCAATGGCCCTGGCTCTGGCTCTGGCTCCTCTCCCACCGCAAAACCTGTACTGAGGCTCGGCAAAATCATGGCATGTCTCAGCGAGTCTGACGTGGAGAAGCTCTTCTCGGGAGCACCTCAGTTCTTCGCCCGTTCCGAGGGCCACTTTACCGGTGCCCCTCACCCGTCCGTCGCCTTTCCATGGGATGAGACGCTCGAGATTCGAGACCTCTGCGACCGCGTGCAGGTCGAGGATGCCGCCTGGAGCAGCATCACCGCCTGGCCGCACATCACCCGTGATGCCCGCCGCGACTCCCTCGCCCGCCGCGACTCCAATGCCTCGACGTCCAGTGTCAAGAAGAAGCGCGCCCACTTTTACCCGCGATGCCGTGAGCGGCCTAATATGCTCAGCATGCAGGGGCTCGAGAAGGGGACCATGGGCTACCAGGCTGCGCTCGAGATCTCCGTCGCCGATGCCCTGCAGGAGGAGCAGTTTGGATTTGACAGCGTCGGTCACAAGGCCAAAGCCATCATGGAGCAGCGCCAAAGAATGCTGACGTCCAAGGACGGACTGCGTCATCTCGAGGAGTCGGCTATCCTGGACCAGCTCATCAAGAACAGCGACCGGTACATGACGGAACGCATCCACAAGAACATCTCAAGCACCTTGTACAACGAGCTCTTTCTCGGCATCCTGCACCCGCCCACGCGAGTCGTGGATCATCGAGATCCCTACAGCCTCTCCGTCCAGATACAGGCCCTGCTGAAGGTGCTGGCCACGCCCAACGTGTGGACCGACTTCTCCCACGTCGAGTGGAGGATCCGCTTGGGCCAAATTCTGTGGGGCTCGTATGAGGGGGATGATGTCGAGACGGACGTCGAGATTGAGGATGCCGAGACCAACGACGAGAGGAAGGAGGAGCGCTACTGGCTCCTTTTACAAATTTTGCTTGCCTGCGAGCTCCTGATCCGTCTCGATGCCATCACCGAAGGCGAGGAACTTGGCATCGAATCCATCAAGCCTACCGAAATCCATCGCTTTGAAAAGGACGCAACTCCCTCAGTCAAATGGTCGATGCATTTAGCCCGGGCCTGGCTCGACAACATTCAAGTAGTTGAAACGGAGGTCGACGCTACTGCTGCTGCAGATAACGAACGGCACCATCTCAGTGGGTGGCTGGCTTCCTTGACGGGCAGAATGACCATGAACCATGGTGGGCACGCGCACGCACACGGGGGCAAGATGACAGTCTATACCATTCAGGGCCGGCATGCTCAGCGTCAGGTTGACGGGCTGACGCACTTTGCAAGGAAGCTGCGGTGGCCGGACGTGGATTCGTATTCGTCGCGTATCAAAGAGAATGTGAGCAAGGCCTCGGAAGCGACCGCCATCCACACGCCCGTGGACGAAACCCCGCTCAGCATTGACACGAAACGATCGTCGTATTTTGGTGGCGGTCGCGCAGAGGCCGACGTGGCTCGCCATCCGTCGCGACGACGCAAGATTTCTGCCGCTCTACACCCTTCTGGTTGGCTGTCCAAGTCGTACGTTTCTGGTCTGATGTTGCCTGGCGAAGGCATGTACCACCTGATCATGGCAACGCTACTGGAAAACGATCAGGAAGCCATGGACAAGCTCGGGCCCATGGCCAATCTCTGCGGTGGATTCGTGTACTGCGGCAAGAGCTTCTGGAGCACAGCGTGCGTCGTCGGTCGTGTTCTGGCTGCGGGCAGAGGCTCCGCTGAGTGCATGGGTTGGATCTCAAGCGACATTGTACCTGAAGGCTTGGGTAACGGCTGGCTGAACATTGACGTTGAAGAGATTCCCGAGGACGTCAAGAACACTGGGAAAAAGGCGAGACTCTGGGGCAAGACGTACATTGAGCGACAGTCATCTGTGCTTGGTGACACTGACCCATCGTCCGTTTTGCCTGCCGATTTCATCATTCCCAGCGAAAGCGGCTACAGTGAGCCGCCGCCTGCCATGACCGTCGAGCTCCGATCCCTCAATCTGTACGCGCCTGTGGACTCTGTGAGCACGACGCCCACCGAGTCTGATATGGTGACACCATTTTCTGAGAATGGCGCTCCCCCGAGGCTGCACACATACCCATCATCGATTACCTTCTCGGTCGGCTTGCTGGGAGGTGACACACAGGAGTATAATTTTGCTCTGTCCAAAGATGTATACTTTGTCACGGCGCACCCATGCGTTCCATCTGCTCGCGTCAAGGTCGTGAGGTCTCCGTCCAGTCCGACTATCCAGCAGATTGATGTCTCGGGAGAGACGTACACAAACAAGGCCTACAGCACCACCCACACTCTTGGTAAGTGCGCCAGCCGCCGCGCAGAATGCGAGCAGAGAACTGACCTGGCTAGGCCATCCCCTTCACAAGTACTATACCTACACCCTCATTCATCTGTCGGAACTTCTCACTAGGATCGCGACCTCTAGTCTTGAGGAGCTCCTCCTGACGACCGCCTCTGTTCGCCGACCGTCATTGACTCCGGCGACGACAACTGACAGGACTCCTCGTGTCCTTGTCATTGACTGCATCACGGGGGTCATGCAGCCTTCGCAGTCGGCATCTGACGCGCCTCTGTCGCCCACGTCTCCGGTCATGGAACGTGGACAGGGCAATTTCATGGCCTTGGCAAAAATGCATCTCGAGTCGAGGAGGAGGCAGTTTGGCAGCGATATGGAAATTCTCGTCCGGGCGCTATGTGCGGAGAAGGGTTGGAATGCTGTGATTTCTCGCCGGCGCCGGGGTTGTCTTGCATGTGCCATTCGAGAAGCCGGAGCATTGGGTTGGAAAGTCATTATTCGGGTTGACTGATTCTCTTTGTTTTCAAGTCCTTTTTTTTTCTTTTTTTTTTTTTTCTTCGAGGGGAACCAGCGAGTTCTGTACGCATAGCAAAGGTGTAACTTGAGTATGATGTCTACGATGGACGATGAACGATTATAGGATTCGACTGGAGAGAGGGCAAACCAGGCCGTGTGCGTTCAAGTACGTCTGACTACGTGAGGATGTTGCGTATTCATGATCATTTGTATGTATTCTGTCGTACAACCTTCACCACCATGTACCCGTGCTTACCCGATCAATGGAACCTCCGTCACACATGGCCGTGAACAACGCAAGAGAAGAAGACGAGAATGAGACAGGCGAGAAAGAGAAAGGCGAGAGCACGCAGCGACGGACACGGCAGACAGCCTCGGGCGACACACGAGCAGGCCGCCCGTCTAGAGGTCGACGGCGAATTGCTTCTCCTCGTCGCCGGGGACGCTCCACTCCCTCCACCCCTCGCGCTCGCCGGGCAGCTCGATGGCCTCCCACTCGTCGCGGGTGATGCTGTGCCAGTCGTCGACGGGCAGCCAGCCGATGTAGGCGCGGTCGCCGAAGCCGCCGACCCAGTAGACGGACGTGACGACGAGGCGGGCCCACTCGCTCGCGTGGATGCGGTTGCCGGGAAGCCAGTACTTGGCGTCCGGGTGGGTGCGCACGAAGCAGGCGGCGAGGCGGGCGGCGACGAGGGGGTCGGAGGCTTCGTCGATCTTCTCGAGGTAGCCGATGAGGGAGAGGCGGGGGAGGTTGGCGGCTGAGTAGGGGACCGTGTCGCGGGGGAGGCCGTGGGTGTGCTCGTCGTCGCGGAACTGGCATTTTTGGCCGTCGTCGTCGTGCGGCGAGGAGGAGGAGGAGGAGGAGGAGCAGGAGGAGGAGGAGCAGGAGGAGGAGAAAGAGGAGCAGGCAGGGCCCTGGGAGAAGAGGTAGTCGCGGGCCCGCCTGAGCCAGCTGTGGCCGGTGGGACCGCTAGCGCGGCGGTGCCCGTGGCGGTGACGCGCCGCCATCATCATGCGGTTGACGGGCGGGTAGGGGGGCGTCCAGCGCACGGAGACGGAGAGGTTGGAGCCGGCGCGGATGTTCTGGAAGGTCGTGGCGATGTTGATGGCGAGGATGGTGGGGTTGCCTTCGGACTCGCAGTCGGCGACGTAGTCCATCATGCCGATGGGGGCACCTTCGAGGCCGGCGGGACGTCGCCAGTCTTGGGCCTCGGTCTCGTCGTCGTGGTCACGGGTGGAGGAGGAGGACGAGGACGAGGAGGGGAAGACGGTGGCGAGATGGCCCAGCTTCGTGAGGGCCAGAATGCGGCGGCCCATGACGGCCGACTCGTGGGCGGTGGGGATGCGGTGGTCGGCAGCCTCAACGGTAGGGTTGGCGAAGATGTAGTCTGGGTGAGGCGGAGACATGTCGAGGTCATAGGCGTGGGTGACTGCCGCAAGGGCACTGATGAGGATGGTGGACTTCATGGCGGAACTCAGAGATGGCCGGGGGGAGGGGGGTTCAAGGCGGGTGAGAGAGGCTGTAGGCAGACCAGACACGAAAAGAGAGAAGACTGAAGTTCTCTGGCAAAGGAGGCTGTAGGTTAAGTAGTAGTTGAGGGGGGAAGGGGTGGGGTTGAGAGGGATCGTATGAGCGATGAACGACTTCGGAGGCGTGAGCCAAGATGCCTGGACTCAGACTAGCAAGAAGAATTCGTCGTCGGCAGAGGCTAGCAGTGGCATGGCAGCCCACAGATGAGTTCAATATCCGCTTTGCATGAGCAGAAAAGTGGTGTGGTGGTAGGGGGAAGAAGCATAAGAGACGAGTCTTGGGGAGCGTTGGCGGGGGGGGGCGTCTGACGTTTGGGGTCGAAACCATCGAAACCATGTGAGCAGCTGCCTTCGCCATTCCTTGGCACTCCACTCCGACCCCAGCGGAACCAATGGTTGAGGCGCCAGCCATCAGGAGAAATGATCTTATCAGATGGTTTCCTCGCGCTTCATTGGCGTGTCGTTCCGCCGAGGGATCCGCCGGGTCCCTATTGACGACAAGGGTATGCAGCGATATGCTCGAGTCGAGTACATGGGTATGTCATGTTGAACGCTGTAGGCCATATAGCAGGTAATCCCAGATGGTGGCGCTCACCGCCCAATCGTCGCGCCCTGAGTGCGATGACCGATAAGATAAACATTTTCGACTCTTCAACTCAACCCCACCATCCCACCTTCGCCTGGATCCTTCTTGCGTGTGCCTGCTGGACATGCCGCCATCCACACGCATCGATACCAACCACATGGCACGACCTTCTTCCTTATCCTCGGCATATCCATTAGAGAGACCTTGAAGCCCTATTCATCGCCGAGCCGGCGCTTGAGCGCCTCGACCCCCCGCGCCATATGCGCCTCGTCCCCGTCACCGGCAGCGAAACGACCTCCTCCGACCCCGACATGGTCGGCTGGAATGGCCTCCCTGCCGAGCTCAAAGCCCTGACCCTCAGCTTTGCCATCGCCGCGGCGCAGCAGAAACCAAAGGCCCACCACCTCGCCTCCTACGCCGTCGTCTGCAGAGACTGGCAGGACGCCGTCGAGCCCGCCAACTTTGCCTCGCTGCGCGTCACCGCCGGCGACCTCGCCGATTTCGTCAGCCTCGTCGTCGGCCCGCGTCGACGCTACCTGAAGCACCTGCTGCTGGGCATCGAGCTGCCCAAGTACAACAAGAAAAAGGCCAGGGTGCCCGAGACGGATGACGAGCAGACCGACAACGACATTGCTTTCAGCACCACCATCCTCAGCTTGTTCCACGAGCTCGCCGCCTGGAAGGCCGAGGAGAGCCATGGGCTCGAGGTCGAGCTGTGCGCGCGCTCGCCGAGCGACACGCTGGCCATGTCAGGCGCCGCCGGCATCACGGAGGAGGGCGAGTCGCGGTACTTCGACTCGCACCTCGACTTCTCCTTCATCGACACGGGCTGGATCGGCCAGCACGGCCTGCCGAGCGTCGACGTCATCACCAAGCTCTCCATCCTCCGCCGGTGCTGGCGCAACATTGATTCCATGGCCGTGCTCACCCTCGTGTCCAGTCTGCCGCGCCTGGCCGAGGTGCGGTATGAGCCGTTTCAGCAGTTTGACGACGGCGCGCAAGAGGTGATTGACATGGGTAGGTTCTTTCGATGGTTCACTTCTTCCTTCTCTTTTTCTCTCCAAACTCTACCACCTGCTGACACGTCCAGATCGCGCGAGGTTTCTCCCCTTTTGGCCCGAAACGATCCGCCGCCTGAGCCTGTTCGAGCACTTTGACCACCCTGAAGACGAGCCGCAGCAACGCCTCGTCCTACACCCGGACGGTACTGTGATCCCTGACGACGACGACGGCTTCGAGGACGAGGACGACCTCGACCCCGCCGGCGGCAACCCAGGCGACGCCGCGAGCCAGCACGACTCGGCCGATGAGGGCGAGCCGCGCACGTGCGCCGCCCTCGCCATCACCATCGCCCGCCGCAGCCTCCAGCTCGAGGAGCTCGCCGTGTCCTTCATGGCCGACGCGCGCCACTTCTTCCAGCCCTTCTTCGAGGTCCGCGCCGCGCGCACGCCCGAGCTCCTCCCCCACTGGCCCCGCCTCCGCTGGCTCACCCTCACCTCGTCCGCCATCCACTACGACGAGGACCCGGACCAGCTCAACGCCCTCTTCCTCGCCGCCGCCCGCGCCGCCCGCCGCATGCCCGCCCTGCGCGCCCTCGAGCTCTACAGCGTCTGCAAGCACAGCGGCGGCGTCTTCCGCTACGTCGTCCGCGGCGGCCACGCCACCCTCGCCTGGGAGGGCACCTGGGACTTTGTCCTCGGCGAGGGCGTCAAGCGCGCCTGGCGCGAGGTCGCCCGCGCCAACGCCGCCGCCGACCTGCACGTCGTCCCCGAGCTCACCCTGCCCCGCTATGAGGGCATGTTCAAGTTCATCCACACCAACCTCTGGACGAGGGAGATGGTCCTGCACGGCGTGTCGTCCCTCGAGGTCCTCAGGAACAAGGCCGTCCTGCCGCCTGCGCAGCTCAAGCTTAAGTAGCAGCTGACCTGGTGCGCTTTTTTTTTTTCCTTTTGATGAGCCACTCTTTTTGACGACGAGCGCTGGACTGTTTGCATGGCATGATGGTGCAAGAAGATGGAAGACTAGGGAGGGCAAAAGGGGGGGGGGGGGCTGGGGGGGGCGTTGGTGAAGACAATCGACATATACCTCGGCTGTAGCTATTATCTTTCTACAGAGGGCCGCCACATATCCCTGCAGTCATGACGAACACGATGAAGAATACAACACAGGATTCATTTGCTCTCTCCCGATGCATGTGACCACCCATGAACTTGCCAAGTTCATGATCTAGTTACGACGCTGACTTTCAGCAGCTTGAACCTCGCCGTCCTTCAATTTACCGCACAAAAGGCTCACTGGAGAGACAGTACCTTCTCGTCGCAGATCAATACAGGGTCGAGCAGAGAACAGTCCGTCATGGATCGATGTCACGCATGGTGGTACAACATGATGAAAGGCACTATTATTGGTTGATGTGCTTTCATGCTCAATATTTCCATCTTGGCCTCACCAGAAAGGGAACAATATTGACAACGATATCACGCACCGATCTCCTCGTGATGCTCGGGGATACAGTCAGCCTGAGGGTATAAAACCAAAGGTTTGCGTACGTTCAGGCTCGTCGCCCACGTGTGCCTTTTGCCCAGACACCAACCACACCGAAGACTTTCAGTTCTAGGCGAATGGACGTTTCCAACGCAGCCTCGTCCTGGATCGGAACGATTGCGACCGCAATAGGGCTGGCATCCTTGATTGCCCAGGGAAACGTGATTCAGGAACGGATTGATCCCTACTCGCCCTTTCGGGGCACAGCGGTCTTGGGACTATGGACAGGTCGCCAGGCGTCGAAAGCGTGGTACAACCTCCGACCCCCTATCCTTGTTGGCCCTGTCATCACAGCAACTCTCGCGCGAGGCTTTTGTGGCCTGCCATCCGTCTTTTTGTCCCGTAGGCCCGATCCTGCTCATGGCACCGCATCTTGGGCTGTCGTGATGGGAATCTTTCACCCGCAGGCGGTAGGCCACCATTTCGAAACAAGCTCCGCCGCAACCCTGTTACCGGTGACCGAACGATCCGAAGGTCCTGAGGACAGCACATATCGCCAGATTTTCGGCCAAGACGCACAGAGCGATGGAGTGGGCATAGCAAAAGCCGAGAGCACCTGGTCAAACACCCCCACGCAACGCCTCATACTTCATCGGTCTGCGGCCTGTGCCGCAATCTCGCGCACGACGCTCATCGTCATGCTCGCAATGACAAACGCCCGCGAGGGCTTCCGCCATGTCGGCGCAGCAGGCTACCGGGCTTCTTATCCGTCGTATGGAGGGTTGTGGACCATCGAGTGGCCCATTGGGGACCTGGCCGTTGTCAGGCTGTCCCCCCACGATATCCTGGCCGCGCCAGGCTCGGACCCCTATCCGCCACTGCTGCACGTGAGAGTAGACCGCTGCGTAGAGATGATGTCGGGAATCCTCAAGAACCGAAAAGGGCTCTGCGTAGCCTTTCCCGGCCGCAAACGTTCAAGTGCAGTCCTTCGCTTTCATAAAAACGGATATGCCGGCGCGCATGGCAGCCGCCACTTGTACAACATGACAGGCGGGGTTGTGTATCCAGTAGACCTGCTTGCTCGGATAGACACGCCATATCCGTTCCCGACAATCGAATCCGAGGGCCATGTCCACATTGAAGCCCCCAGCGTAGAGCAGGGCAAGTCTGTGTGGCTGCTGATACCGCCGCTGGAGAGGGATATCCTGGTGCAGGCCATGGACTCGATTCCCTGGAACACGCTGTCATGGTCCCTACATCGTGGTATGCGGGATATCATTCTCGGCTTCGGAAAGCCGTGTATGGATTTGCATCGGGGCCAGCTGGCCGACATACTTCGACAGACGGTGATACAGAAAAGCAAGACACTGGTGGCGCGAGGGTGGGCATCTGACATGGTTCTACATCACATGCCTGATGTTGTTCACTCGACAGTTATGGCCGGGCACGGCGACAGTGGTGATGCCGTTCGAGCCGTCGTCGATACGGCCTACCTTCTTGTTCATGCAGCCTGCAACCTTGATGAAACACATTTCTGGCGAGATGCCGATAGCGCGAGCTCTCTCACTGATGGGGCGCAAGAATGGGCTGTGCTTCCACTCTCTACGGATACAATCGTTGCCCTGACTAAGTTTATGGTTATTGAATGGAGTCAAGAGATGGACTATCAGATGTATCATAACTTGCCTATGACTTTATTGATTGCTTCATAGTACCCAGCTTAGTATAGTGCACAGGCTGTGGGGATTTTTCGGCGTCGTCCTTATCAGCTCAGTAGCAGATAATGTGCATGTTGGCTGGTGGGCTCTGAATGATTGACCAGGCCCGATTATATCACCATCGACGGTGTACGCTCTGGGCTCAGAAGTTTGTCACGGCCAGTCATGAGGATCAAAGCAGAGTAAAGGGCACATATCTTGTTGCTATCAGCTATTAATATTACACCATCCAACCAGCCAGGGTATCGTTGTGCTTCTTCTGTGCCACAGTCAACTGTTAACAAACCGGAGGAGGGCGGCCAGTAAAGCCAAAAACCCCCACTCGCGATTGCCGTCTCTTTTCCAGACCAAAAACCTCCCATGCAAAATATATCGTTCGTAAGGATCGTAAGAATGGTATTATGTGTTCACATTGTTTGTTGGCGATTGTATGTGAGAGAGATATGTGACAAAAGTCTACAGGTGCCACCGCCCTCTCAGGACGGCGCCAATGTGTTTGTGTGTGTGCGGGGGATTGACAAGATAAGAAAATGGAATGTGGTGCGCTTTACATAGCGACCATGAGGGCCATGATGGCCATGACAGCTCCAACGCCAGCGGAGACCTTGCCGGCGCCGGCCTCAACAGGGACCTGGCCAGAGGGGGCGGGGGTGGGGATGACACCGCCAGTGCCGGCGGGGGCAGAGGGAGCAACAATGAGAGTGGGCTCCGCGGGAGCACCGGGGGTCTCAACGATGGGGATGGCGGTGGGGGCGACGGGAACGACGTCAGTGGCACCGGCGGGGGTGGTGAAGTCGACCTTGGGGACCTCGATGGTGGACTTGATGACGGTGGTAGTGGAGGAGCCCTCAATGGTGGTGCCGTCGGTGACGCAGGGGACGACAGTCGTGGCGTCGAGAGTGATGGTGGTGTAGTGAGCACCGGAGGTGGCGGTGGGGACAACGGTGATGACGGTGTTGATACGCTCAGCATCGGTGACGATGGCGGGGTTCTCCTTGACGTGACCGGCGCAGACACCCTGGAAGAACTTGGTGGCCTCAGAGATGATGTCGTCAGATCCACCGTGGGCGTAGATGCAGGAGAAGATGTTCTCAACGAAGGCAACGTCGGGACAGTAGCAGGCGGTGTCGGTGTTGTCCTGGCAGCCGACAGAGAAGATCCAGGTGTTCAGGCACTTGGGGACGACGTCAGGGCAGGGGAGGGTCTCGATGGGGGTCTCAGGGGCGGTGCTGGAAGGCACAGCGACGGCGGAAGAGACGGTGACCTCGGGCTGCTCGGGGTACTCGGGCTGCTCAGGCTTGACGGCAGTGGGGGTGGGGGTGGTGATGATGGTCTCCGTCACGTCGCAGACAGTGGTGGTCTGGGGAATGGTGACGGTGACGACAACGGGGGTCTCAGCACCGCCGCACTCAGGCTTCTCGGGGCCGCAGTCGGTGACAGTCTTGATCTCGGTGGTGAAGATGGTAGAGACGGTCTGGTAGCTGGTCACCTGAGTGATGGGCTCCTCGGGGACGACAGGGACGGACTGCTCGGGGATGGCGGCGGAGGTGGTCACAGCAGGAACGCTCTCAGCGGGGACAGAGTAGCCAGGAGCGGACTCGACAGGGGCGGAAGAGACGGGAGCCGACTCAACAGGGACCGAGGCGGGGACCGAGACAACAGGGGCCGACGACGCAGGAGCCGAGGGAATGGGGACCGAAACAACGGGCGCGGACGAGGCGGGAGCCGACTCGACGGGGACAGAGTAGCCAGGGGCAGACTCGACAGGGGCCGACGAGGCGGGGATCGAGACGACGGGGATCGAAGAAGCAGGGACCGAGGGAACGGGAACAGAGACGACGGGAGCCGACGAGGCAGGGATCGAGACGACAGGAGCCGACGAGGCGGGGACCGAAACGACGGGAGCCGAAGAGGCGGGAGCGGACTCAACGGGGACAGAGTAGCCGGGAACCGAGGGAACGGGGACCGAAACGGGAACCGAGACGACGGGGGCAGACGAGACGGGAATGCTGACGACGGGGGTGGTCGAGGGGACGGAAATGGTGCTCAGGGTCGTCTTGGGAGGGTTGGTGTACTTGGGAGGCGTGGGAGGCTTGGGCTTGTCGCAGTCGAAGCCAATCTTCCAGATATCAACGCCACACTTGGTCTTGGGCTTGTTGGGCTGGGGAGGGTAGACGACGGTGACGTTCTTGGCTCCACCGCACTGGGAGTTCTTGACGGTGGTGCCCTGCTTGGAGCAAGGGGCACGGTGCTTGCAGAGACCGCCATCAGGCATGTCGTAGTGGAACTCGAGATCGCAGTCAAACTCGACAGAGACGTCGAAGTAGCCGATGGAGAACTTGTCACCAGAGCCGAAGTTGGGGGCGTCGAACTTGTCGGAGCCGCACTTTCCCTTGATGGAGCGGTCGTTGGTACGGCCAGGCTTCGATTCACAGGTCCAGCCCTTGAAGTCGAAGTTGTTGTAGTTGCTGATCTTGCCAGGGATGGTGTCCTGCCAGTCGAAACCACCCTTCTGCTTGTCGGAGAAGCAGTCGTTGTTGGTGTTGTCGGGGCAGGAGAAGGGCTTGGCGTGCTTCCACTGCATCGGTGTGTCAGTATTCATATTCATGTCTCGCTGATCTAGGGGCACACCTACAGTGGCAGAGACCTCGCCAAGGCTGGCGGCCAGGGCCATGAGGGCGTATGTGTTCTTCATTGTGAGGGTGGATATGTCGATGTTTTCTTCCTAGGAGTGAATGTAGTTGGACTTTTGTAACGGGAACGGGAAACAAATTATGTGTATATCAAGATGATGGCGCAAAGGAAGCGAATGACTTTGGCCTTGAAACGAAAGACTGTTGATTGTTTGGAGAACGAAAGTACTTGTTAGGAAAGAAAAAAGGTCGATGAGGTGAAAGGAGACAGAAGGCATGAAAGGGTGAGAGCAGGACGAGTCTATATACCAACATGAGGGCGGCAGTCGTCTGGTGTCGAGGATGGGGGCAGCGGCGGGCGGGAGACCAGAGAGGCCCAGTCCGAGCCTCTCAAGGTGTCTGTGTGTCCGAGCCAGAGCGCTTTGCGCTGCCTGCGCTTGCAAGCCGTCACTGTCTCGCGCTTGAGCTCCAAGGCAGGCTGGGCCAAGGCTGCCTGATCCCTGTGTCGATGGCTTGAGTCCTGACAAGGAGAGAAGTTCTGGGTTCCGCTCCCGCTCCGGCCCCTGTACCTTGGGCGGGGGCCATGCGACGGGTCCTCCAAGATCCTGGCACTCTGGAAAGCCCGTCACCACGGCCAGCCATGGGTGGTTGTTCCAGGATCTGTCCAGGGTAGGCGCGCTCCATTCACTGGGTCATGCCGCTACATCGGTCTTTTCTTTTGCGTCGGGCCCGGCAGAGGTGTGGAGTCTCAGAGTTGCTATCTGTGACTGATTTCTCAGAGGCTGACCTGAAGAGCGCATTGTGAGGTGACAACGGGCATTGGTCGCCATTGACCCTTTTGGCCTGGGTAGTCGAGTTGATCTGACCGTTCGGCCACTCGGCTTGGCATAGGGAACGGCCATGACCGTCATCAGACGACAGGATGGCGAGAAAGACGGGATGAGGCCGGCCCCCTTCGAGCCAAGATGTCTTGCGGACTGGCAACGCCTCCCCCCCTTGCAGCCTTGTTGGATGGCGCAGAGCATAGTTATTCGCTCCGCTGACATGGCTGACATCGGACGATCCAAGCAAGCAGGCGAGGAAGAGGAGATGGGTAGCCGAAGCACCTTTCCCAGTTGACGATGGGCATGTTGACGAGAGGAGGTCAAAGCAAAGCCCACCGCCCGTTGGGTTCAAAAGGAGAAAGACCAGGGTGCCGGGGCAGGGAAGCCGTGACCCACTACCCAGCGACGCCATTGCCGTTTGAAGAGACAATGGCGCGCGGCTGCAGGGATTGGTCAGGGGCAGCCGTCGACTGGTCTCCAGGGGCCGCCCGATCTCACCTCAAGGGATCGTTGCAGCCAACCAAACATGTCGTCGCATATGTTTGGATGGAGGCTTTCAGCCAATGACGATGCGATTTCTATTCTCATTATTGCACCCCCTCAGCCCAAGTTGAACCTCCTCAGTCCCCCACCCTTTCTTGTGTCGTTGCGTTGTCGAGAGGAGACGAGGATTCTTACGGTACCATCGACACCAGCGGTAGTTGTGGTTTGGCGAGCCGCCGCGAAGGGCGCCCTCTGTCCGATACCGAAACGCTGGTTCGTCCCTCACAAGACTCTAAGACACGCATTGTCCGAAATCGTTGTCGAAACGGAGAAAAAGCAATCGCTGATTTCTCTCGGCCCGTTGTTGCCACAGCCTGAGACTTCTGTTGCCAATTCGGCATCCAGCAGCCGACCGAGACATCAACCCGAACGCCAGCCAAGTGTCATCGAGAGACCGGGCGGACAGCCAAAAAGGATACAGAGACAAGCATGGCACGTTGCCTCCAACAATTGCTCGACAAGTCACTACCGAGTGAGCCCGGAGGGGGTGAGGTGTGAGGTAGAGGCTCGAAAAGAAGCAAAGCTGCAATCCCTTCTTCCCGCCCCCCCCCCCCCCCCTTCCCTCTAACCACAACAAGCGTCGTGAGATCCAAGTTGAAACGCTCCGCCACTGCGCTTGGCAGGAAACAACGCTACTGCAGGAACCGAGCCGACCTTTGGGCCGTTCAGGATCAGTTATCATCGCCTTGTCGCCGTCTCTATGCATCCCCGCCCCCCCGCCCCCTTCTCAGACCGGGTTTCGGGGGCCGCTGGAGTGTGGGACGAGCGAGAGCAAGTGCAGACCAAAGCAGAGTGAGGAGAGGCAGGGGTACAACGCCCTAACGGCCAATGGTTCGATATTCCCCGGCCCTCTTTCCAGGCCAGGACGCCGCCTCCACAGAAAAGGCTCCAAGGGGGTTCCAGAACCCCGTGATGCAGTTGCCAGTACGGCCTGCGCAGTGACTCTGGCCTGCTGTTACACCGGTGTTGCCTACCCAATCGATCCGATGCCGTCCTCACTCTGGGTCTGGCGCTCAGGGCGCCTTGCATCCTCGAGGATACAATTCACACCGCGTTCTGGCCGCAGAGATTTCTATTGACTTTAGCGATATGTTTTGTGGTGCCTGCTCTTCATGCTCATTCATTCCCAGCATGAGTACGAGTTTTTCTTTCTCGCCTGGCCTATACGGCATCGTATGGACCGGACCAGACGTCGAAAAACTGGCCTCTCGACCCAGATTTCGGAGACCTGAAATGAAGGTACTATTCCCAGCTTGGATTCCTCCAAATCGCTCGTGGCTTGTTGTCCTGAAAGGGCGTTCGACTTCCGCCAGGGCTCGGCCTCCACTCAGACCTCGCGTGTTTCACGTTTCGGTCAGCACCTGAGTCCTGAGCCCAAAGCGACCCTGCTGGTGGCTGGACTGGTGCTGAAGCCACCGTCCTAGTCTGCCCTCGTTCTTCCTCTCACCGTCACCATTGCCCCGCGACACCAGATGTGGCAAAGGTCCGACAGGGGACTTGCACTCGTGGCCTAGCGCCGAAGTTCCTCGCCCCCATTTGCACCCCCGTGCGTCCAGAAAAGGAGGTCGTGAGGCAGCGGCTCCGTGGCAGGCCGCTTGCCCACACCCATCAGCGAGGTCCCGAACCTGGCGTGACGCTGTGCCTGACCGTGACGGCCTTCTCGCTGACCATGTCCCCAAATAGATTAGGTACCATTATTTTTTCTACAGTTCTGGCGCTCTGCTACCGCCAGCGCTAACATTCACCTGAGACGGATCACCTGAAGGCGCCGACGGTGCTGGCGGCCTGTACGATGACAGCTGTCGGGGCCCCCATAATCCTATCTTCCCGTGTCATCGGAGCAACAGCAGCGGGATGGACAGCATGGTAATCTGGGGCCATAACAGACTTCCATGTGACGTATTTACGCCTATCTCGAAGAGATCAGCACTCTGGCTGCCGTCAAACCCTGTCAAGGGCCCCCAAAGGGTGGCTGTTGTTCACCTGAATTCGAGGACACGAGAACCCCCCTCCCCTCCAGCTGCTCCAGTATCTAGCACATGTGCAAGAAAGGGCTACAATCAAAGTGCGATTGGCCTGCAGCCAAAAAGGAAACAACACGAATCGGGGGGTTCCAGTTCATTTCCCATCTGCACGTGTTTTATCCACTTCATTCATGCGCCGTCGTCTGGGGCGGCGCTCGCGCTCCGATGCAGTGGGCATCGCGTGGTCATCATCTGCCCATGGCGACGCCGAGCTGGCGAACGGACGCGACTGTGCGAAATGACTCGAGATGGCAGGCTTAGCTAGCCATCTTGGCCCAGTGGCAGCACCACTGACATATGTTAGTGCCTGGTCGCGAGGCCCTGTGGTCTGCTGCTGTGCACCAGTCAACATTGCAACCTGGCTGGTGAAAGGCTTCGTCTCATCTCACACTCCCGCGACCGCACATACGGCCAAGGTACCTCCCGGAATCGGCGTTGTAATCACTTTATTCTGGTTTCCGCATCTCTGGGAGCAATGTTGATTGTCGAATCAATACTTGAGCCCGAGTGGTCCAGAATAGGAAACCAGCTCATTTTAGGGCCTCACAGAATTAGGAAGTGTCGCGTGGGAGTAATCACGGCTCGCTCGCCGAAGGCGATCGTCGTGGTCCTCGCTCTCGTTCTGCTGGGGTTGGCAGTCCAGCCTTTACTCTTCTCGGGCGCAATCGCAAAGAAACATTGTTTCGATCGCCCACCCAATTTCCCATGGGAGTCATTTTCCACAACTCGCTCTTACCGAGCCTTCCAGAACGCCTATTTGTTTCTCCTTACATCTTTGTCGGCAGCATGGTGCCCTGCTGGCGAAAAATCGAATGAAGAAGACGGCTTTCTTGGGTGTCTCTCCCCGGGTCCCCACATGCTACCTCGACGGTCGCGAGTCGATGATACAGGGCATCGAGGACAGACAGGGCAAGGGGACGACTTCCTGAATGGGCACCCCTGCTGGTTGTAGGAAACCCCCCCTTTCTCCTTGGGCCCCGGACATCCGCTGCAGGGATACGGCGTTACTGTCGCGTTTCAGGCGACGATGCACCGCCTCCTTCCCAGCAACGACGGACGACTGTCGACGGGCGATTGACCATCTAGCCGCGATGGATAAGGCGGAATGGGGGAAAAGGAACAGGACGAGAGAAAGAAATACAGGACGACATCTGCCAGCTAGGACGGAACGACGGCGTCCCATTCGGCCATCGTTTGATGTTGATGGCACCTGGTCTGGGCACAGCAGCCGATCCCGCAGCTGGCCGTGTCGCTCTGCACTTCCCCGAGACCGGTGCTGGACGCCCGGCGGAGCGCGCGACATGTCGTTCCACAGATCGATAGCCCTCCGAGGTTAACCTCGAACGACGGATCGTCGCTCCCCATATCGTATTCTCCCTACAGTATTCACGGAGGTCGCCGGCCATGATGGTTTGTCGATCACATCCCATATGAGCCGATGCTGTTTCGAAATAGAATACTCCGAACAAAAAAAAAAAAACATCCGAACTTTCTTTCATGCCGTGCCTGGATCATCCCCCCCCCTCCCCTTCCCTTTATCTGCTGACCTGCTCAAGTTCGGGGCGGCGGCACGGCAGAGACGAAGTCGGTGCATGAACTGCTGCGGCTCCGAGTCTCATGTGCACTGCCCCTTACCTTAGAGGCATTATACTATAGGCTTATTCAGACCATATCTCGTCGGTTGTGTACCTAATCGATTGCTTGGTCGCCTCCATTGTTCGGTTGCTCTAGCGCTGGCCAGCTGGATTGTGCGTGCAAAACAAGGGGGAGACATGGGCCGATGCCCCTGGTTGACAATGATGGACGGACGAACAAGGTTTGATCACCTGACCAGAAGAACAACGATGGCGAATAGAGAGAGGCATCACGACAGTGGATCGTGGAGCGACCTTGTCGTCTCGATTATCGTCAAGGGCGTCTAGCCCACAACTCTGATTCAAGTAAAGTATCATCCCTGCTGCATCCTCTTGAGTCTCTCCTCGGCCGCCCGCGCCCTGCGTTCGCGGTCCAGCCGCATCCTCATCTCGGGCGTCAGGCCTCTGGCCTCCTCCTGCCGCCTCTCTTCTGCCGACTTCATGGGCCCCCGACTATCGAGCCCCAGCGGCGTGCCCTTCCGAGCCTTGACAACCGGGCCTTCGACCTTCAGTCTCTCCTCCTCTGCCTTGCGCCTCTCAGCCTCCTTGCCCTCACGCTCCTTGCGGTCACGTTCCTCGCGTTTGTCCGCATCGACCTTGGTCATGGCGATCGGCACACCCGCAGCGTCCCAGTCCCACCTGTCCTCGCCGAGCTCTGAACGGGCAACGCGAAAGGCATCTCGCGTCGCGCGATCTCCGGCAATCTCAAAGGCGGTCTTGCCCTGTTCGTTGCGACAGCTGGGGTCGGCGCCGCCACGGACGATGAGGCCAAGCACGACGGGAGCCGAGTTCTGGCTCGAGGCAAGATGGAGTGGCGTCGGCGCGTGATGGTTCTGCTCCGGGGGTTGAAACAAGAAGTCTGGCGAGACCTTGTTTGTGTTGAGATAGGATAGCAGGGCGGGGAGCTTGGAGCGTCGGATCAGAGCCTGGATCTGAGAGGTATGCAACAAGGCCGTCTCTTCTTCTTCTGAGAGCTTGGGCTTCGTCGGCTTTGGCGTCGATGGTTTCGTCACAGCCGGCGCCTCGGCTAGGGCTCTCGCCTTGGCCTCCGCTTCGGGGTCAATCTCGCGGACCTTGAGGCGTGTGAGTTCGATGAAGGAGCGCATCAGCTCGTTCTGCGTGGCGCGGCGCGTGCTGAAGGGGAACCCGCGTAGTCGTGCATCGTTGTGTCGTAGTACCTGTCCATCGTACGGCCCGAATAGGGTCCTGCGATTCGTCGAACCCGTCGCGCGGATGAAGAGCAGTTCCGACGTGTCCAGGAGACCCTTCCAGTCTTGCAGCAGGGCCCTGACATCGTCAATGAGTGCCTGCTCGTTGTAGCGTCGTATGCTGGCGCCGGCTGAATGCGCGGCGCCTTTGGCGTTATCGTTTGCCGACTGCGAGCCACCTTGTTTCCTTCGCGTCGTATACCGGTGAAACGTCTTGTGGGCGAGCACCGTTGCCTCCCTGTTCAGCGGGCCTGTCGCGCCTTTACCCGGCCGAGGCGCGAGAGAGACGACCATGGCGGCGAAGTGGCCGCCGCCGATCATGCAGAGGAAGAAGTGAGGGCCCTTGTAGGCGATTTCGGGAAGAATGCCATCCTTGCCGACCTTGGGCATGGCGAGGGGCTCGAGCTGCTTGGCCTTGACGACGTCGACCATCTTGGGCTCGAGACGCAGGTCCTCCGCCGTCAGGATGGCCCGGTAGAGGCCGAAGAAGTGATTCTTGGGCAGGACGGACGAGGTGAACCATATCAGCGGTGGTTTCCCTGGATTTCGTCTCGATCTTGACAGGCTTCCCTCGCCGTCATTGTCCTCTTTGTTATCGTTGTTCCTGTCGGCAATGACGGCTTGTTTCTTCAGTAGCGTTGTGAGTGTTGTTTCCTTGCGGGCATTGTCGCTGTCGTCGTCATCTTCGGTGTCTTCAGAGTCGGAGCCGGACAAGCTCTCGTCAAGGTCTGGAAAGAGAGAAACAAGGCGGCAAGGTCAGCGAAAGTGTTGCGAGGACGGGAGGGGGGGGGGGGGGGGGCGGCGAATGGCTCAACATACCGCCAATCAACTTTTCAAAGTCCACCTCTGACACGGCGGGGCTTCCGCGAAGCTTTTGTTTGAGGTTGTAGTGGTGCCAGTCGGATTTGAGGTGGCTCCTCTGGTCCAGCAGGGAGGCGAAGCTCAGTCCGCAGAGGGAACAGGCCTGGGAGCCAACGAGACTCTCCTCCGTGTCATTTTTCCTCTTTTGCGACTGTACCCTTTGTTCCTCGAGAAGCTGGGCCTCGTTGTCGACGTCTGTCTTCAGAGCGAGGGTGGTGAGGACTTCGGGGGGCAGGTCGTAGACTGGCGCTGGTCAGCAAAACGTCATGGTGGCGGGGTATGGAGGGGAGCGATTCGTACCGTAGAGGGGCCGCCGAAGAAGTTCTTCGTGCTGCTTGTCCATTGGGGAGATCGATGTCGCGTGTCGCAGATAGGTGCTAAAGAATGTGCAGTAGGCGGAAAGACGTGTAGCGTATCGCTCGTGTGCTGTTGTCCTGGCGCGGGCATGCAGTGTTGGTGCCGATCCGCAAACCAAAGCAGGGCAGGGGCAGTTTTTGGTTGCAGCTGGCAAGCTTAAAGTTGCCCCGCGATGGTGACGAATTTGGGGTGGGCACGTCTGACAGGCAAAGACGATGAAGCGTTGACTCAACCGGCCAAGCAGCGCCCCGCTGGTACCTCGCTACCAAGTTACTACCATGTTGTACATAGTACTTACATGTACCCAGGCAGGTACTGAGGCCTTGCCCCGCATCGTGTGGCTGTGCGATGAGCTTGTTTCGTGCTCACCCCAACTTGGCAGGGACCTTCCAGCCTGGTGGCAGGCAGCTTCCTTTTGGAACTGCGACGGTGTGTGCCTTAGTACCAGCTACTACAGGGAAGCACAGGCCGGCGGCTGGAAGTTGACAGCTGCTCATTGTCCGTTTGGTGCCACATCAAGCTTGCCTCGACGTCATTTCACTGCCCCCCCCCCTTCTCCCCTCACTTTGCTCCTGCTCCTGCTCGCTCGCTGGTATGGTAATATCAGTGCGCCAATGCCCATGCCAGTGCCACATGCTAGCGCTGCATCTCCTGCGTACCTGCTCCCGTGTGGCCCCCTCCACATCATAATTGGCACCGGCGCCCCCGCAAGGTGCTCTTGCCAGCTGAACAGCTTGCTTGGCTTGCTTGTTAGCCTGCTGGAGCTTCCATGTCGAGTGATGTAACGAGGAGGCCGGCCGATGCTGTGGTAGGCTGATGCCACTGCTGAGAGGCCATCTCCGGCACAATGCCCCTCTTTTCACCTCTGTGCCCTGCTTCTGCTGACCACAAGTCTGTCTCACCTTGGCAGCTTGCCTCGCTATATATTGCATCCATTGCCCGGTCTTGTACTGTTTGCTTCTCCATTCCCTCTCGTCTTCGTCATCACCCAAGAATCACAAGCTTGTCATTCCCCATCTCAACTCCAACAACCAACAACCAACTACCAACATGGACTTCGTCAACAACCTCACCGGCGGCGGCAACAACGCCCAGAACCAGCAGGCCACTGGCTCCAACGAGCAGCAGTCCTCGGGCGGCGGACTCATGGACAAGCTCAACTCGGCTGCCGGCGGCGGCAAGGAGAGCGAGAAGAACGAGGACTTCGTCGACAAGGGTACGACATGTCCTGTTTCTAACACAGACACACACACACACACACCCCTCCCCATGCTGACCACCATGCTAGGCGTCGACTTTGTCCAGGAGAAGTTCCTCGGCCAGGGTGCTCAGGACAACGAGAATGCCATTGAGCAGGCCAAGGACGAGCATATCTCCGACTTCATCCGCGGCAAGTACAAGGAGACCACGGGCAGCGATGTCCCCATTGCCGATAAAGTACGTGAACATGCCTGTCTCCCCGAAAGAAACTGCCGTTTGCTAATGTTTGCGCAGTAAATGTAATCAGTCCCCATCGTGTGGACCTCTGCTTCTATTGTGTTCTTCGATTGTGTTATAGGGATGGATTTTCGCCGTTGGGAACCGGTTTTATGAAGCTGCAGAACTCCTGCCACAATCACGAATTGATGATTTCAAAGCCATCGTACCGTCCCGCGTAGTTCGTGCGTCAGAGTGTGTGAGAAACATATGTTATCCCGCAACGTGCCTCCAGTCATCAGTCATCAGTCATCAGTCCGAGCCCCTGGACAGCCAAAGAGAGACCTGTCACATGTCGCCGTGGCCACACTCCCACCAGCCGTGCTCCAACTTCTTTGTTCCTGGCGGTGTAAACATAGGTAGTTCTGGCGCTCGTCTAGATTCAAGGTCTGTCTTTCGAACAGAATCTATCTATTTTGAAATGCCTCGAAAAGGCATCCCTACCAGCGCTTGCATCTTACATTAACCTAAACGGTCATCTACATCGTCTGCGCGCGCTTTGATGACCGCAAGTCCGCAGAAAGGTCTTTTGTCTGATAATCTGCAAGCCCAAGCCCAAAATCAAGTCTCGCTTCTGGGCGGCAGTATTCAACTGAGGAACACGGCGAGACACAGCCCGTACACCCAGATCTAAGATCATAACGCAATGGTAGTTCACTGGCTACTCCAGTGTCCGGATTGTGGCAGTAAAATCGAGAGTATTGCCCTTGCTCTGAAACATATGAATGGCTCATTCAAACGAGAGTCTCGACGTTGTGACCAAGGTACACGTGTCGGTGACACGATCATGTTCAGGTCGTGATAACGCTTTTTGGGTGGAGAGCACGATGACGTCGTGTGAAGTGGGCTCGCTGTCTCCAGCCACGAGCTCCACCCCCTGCAGAGTGTGGCTGGAACACGGCGAACCGCACTTCATCAGGACAAGACGGAGAGAAGGAAGCACAGCTGTCTCTCAGATCAGAATCCTCGTTCTCGTTCACCTACAGACCCAACCCCATGGCGCCGCCATCAAGAACCCCGGCCAAGGCGGCCCCCAAGTTCGTCCATTGCGTCGGCAACCCCGCCTTCAACCCGGAGGACTACATCCAAGACACGGCGCGCCAGCAGAGGGCGCTCGACTATCTCAAGAAAGACGACCTCTACTATGCGTCGCTCGTCACGTTCGGCCTGCCAGAGCGGGACACGTATACCTACCACGCCATGACGGCCGTCAAGCTCGGCCAGGTCCAGCACATCGTCACGCTCGGCGGCGCCAACGACCTGCACGCGTGGTACCGCGCCGCGCCCGAGGACGACAGCTCCGGCCCTCCCGGCGCGCTGCAGCCCCTGCCGCCGCCGCCGCCCGCCGACACGGACGCCTACGTGGCCGTGTTCGCGCCGCACACGCAAACCGCGTCGGCCCTCACCTCGCTCGTCGCCAACGCCAAGAAGACGTCGCTGCGGGCCGCCGTGGGCGCGCACCTCGCGGCCCGGCGGCACATCCACGCGGGCCTGCCGGCGGCCTTCACCGTGCCGCGCTGCAAGCGCGCGGCGCCCTCGGCGAACCCCTACTTTGACTTTTGGGCCTGGTCCTGCCGCGCCCTCGAGTGGGCCGGTCCCTGCGCCGCGTCGGCCCGCCGCCCGGCGAGCCACCACGTGCTGCCCATCTTCATGCACCACTTTGGCTGCGCCGTGCCGTCGCACGAGGGCCTCGAGCTGCTGCGCCTCGCCGCCGCTGGTCGGCCCGTCGCCGACGTCGGCTCCGGCAACGGCTACTGGACTTTCATGCTGCGGCGCTACGGCGTCACCGTCCACCCCGTCGACAACATGCAGAGCGAGTGGCGCGTCAACTGGGTCGCCGACACGGAGATGGCCGACGGGCCCGCCTGGCTGCGGCGCCGCAACGGCGGTGCCGACCTCGTGCTGCTGCTCGTGTATCCCGTCGTGGGCGGCGGCGTCGCCGGTGGCGTCGAGGGCGGCTTCACCCGCGACCTCGTGGCCGCCTACGAGGGCGACACGATCGCCGTCGTCGGCACCCAAAACGCAAACGGCTACACCGGCTTCAGGGATATGACCATGGACCAGTACATGGAGAGGGAGCACAGCGACTGGACCAAGATTGTGCAGGTCCCTCTTCCGAGCTTCGCGGGCAAGGACGAGGCCCTGTACATCTTCCAGAGGGGCGAGCGCGCCCCCAAGGCCGCCGCCGAAGCTAACATGCATACGACGTGAAGAAGATGATCAGATTTGGAGATGAGCACCGGAAACGAGCATCGCCTCGGGAGTAGAGCCAGTATCACGATATCATTTACTGTCAAAGCTAAAGAGTCATCATAGTATCAAGAAGAAGGTCTAAGACATCTCGAAAATGAACTCGTGCAGATTACTAAATCAAACCAGAAGCCAAGAAAACTGTAATGCCAGGTTTATGGCGAGTCAAAGAACAAGCCAGAGGCACGAAAAGTTGACCCATGATGGATAATGTCTTTAATCGACGCATGTCAGCTTTCATAGCGTTGTCCGATTCATTACCCTTCCTCGCGCTCTGCTCTTCTCAACCGAAACGACAAGACTAGACCCAACAGATAACGCAAAAAACCCCCACAAAGAACCAGAACCATGAAACAGAAAGACTCGGTGTTGCATTGCATTGCGAAAGAGAATCGACGAAAGAAGGCTCATTGAGGCTCCCGTAGAGAACGAAGCTGCCCTGGTATGTTGTCGTGATCTATTTGGAGATTCGGACCAGGGCGAGCCGTCTATGTTGCAGAATGTATGTATAACGGCCAAGTGTATTCTCGACCGAGTGTTTGCGGATCGCCAGTAGTGCCCTGACCTTATTTTGCATCCTCTAGTATTTTCTTTTCCCCATATTTTAGACGAAAGTAGTGGGGTGAGATATGGATACAGGCATCGAGTCGTGATAGATTTGAAAATGGCAGTCGCTCAACAATGCTGACGCTTGCCGATGCAGAAGCCTCAAAGGGCCGTGTGTCATGCCATGCGGGTATCAGATGTCGGGGACCAGAAAATGGGAAATGAAATGGTCGTGGCGATAACGATATGTGTAGATGAGCAATGAAATGGAGCGAGCGGTGAGCTCAATGGCTGATTGCCCAGCCCGATGATGAGTGAGAAGCGGGCCGCCGTAGATTACTCGTCGCTCTCGCCCTTCCGCATCCGATCGTTCCAGCGCCGCTTGCCGACGCGGGTCTCGTAATGAGGTGCGAGCACCTTGACGTCCTGCATGATGGACTCAATGGCCGATCGCGTCTTATTGCGATAGCAGTCGACTGTGCGCGCGTCTCAGTAAAGAAAAGGTTAGATCACACGGCGGGGATGGACTCACGGGCTCGCTGCAGGAAGACGGTACGCCCAGCGAAGACACGGCTTTGAAGCCAGGCCATGCGGTAGCCCAGATCATTCAATCGCACTTCCTTGCCACGCATGGCTTTCCTCATTCTGGGAATGGCAACCTCGGCCTCCGTGTTCTCGCCGATAGGCACCTTGACCATCCTGGTGAGGTTGCCACGGGCCCGGCGGCCGCCGTGGCTATCAGTTTCCTCGATGCCGTCGTCTTCGTCTTCGGCGTCGTCCGTGAAGAACTTGGAGCCGGTTGCCGACGGGGGCGGACTCTGCATTTCGCGGGGGAAGTACGAGCGGGGGTAGACAGAGGACCCCTTGCGGAAAGAATCAGGGATCTCGCGCGTGTCGACGCCGTCGAGGGTGACACGGACGCGAAGACGGGAGCCACGGACGTTGTCTTCGACCAGGATGAACTTGCGTTTCTTGGCCTCGGGAATGTTGGGAAACAGATTCTCCGGCTCATCTGGCTCGCTGCGGCTCTGACGACGAGCCGTGATGGGGCCGCCGTGAGGGGCGCTGCCCATGTGTGGCATGGAGGCCTGGTTGGGGGCGGGATAGGCCGAGTGGCCACCATAACCGCTGCTGTTGAAAACCTGCGATTGCCTCACGTCATCGCCGGCGGCGCCCGGTTGGCCCGCTGGGGCTTGATGGTGGTGGTGATGACCTTGCTGATCGTCCATGTAGTCATCGCCTGCAAGAGAAACAGTCAGCCCGTGTGTCTCGGAGATATCATGTGGCGTCGATCACGCAAGACCAATGACAAAACGTGTATGATCGACGAAACTCAAAACAATACGAATTATTCTGGATCAGAGCGCAACACCATGGGGTTGCGGGGGACGAGGTGTGGGTAAGCGACGACGGATACAAAAGGGTCGTGACAAATACAGGTCAGCCAGCTTGTGGCCTTGGTAAGTAATGAGGTTTTTGAGTGAGTGATTGGTTCGCGATAGCAGTGCGGCTCTGGAATGCAATAAGGATGTGTGTGCCAAAACTTGAAGCAATGCGACTTTTATGCCAGAGACCCGTCGGAATGCCCTTCTGAAGGAGGCAGTAGTGCAGTCTGACAGATCGGGCAGAGGACTAACAGCAGCAGCAACTGTGTGCAACTAGGTAATGTACAGGTCTGTGCCGAAGAGAGAAAGAAAATTGTTCCTTCCTGTCCAGCGCGCACGCGCGGGGTTCTGCTGCAACAAGTGACACTGATTGTGATCTGGTCATGGCTAGAGGAGGGGGGGCAGACAATCCGCCCCAACCAGCCGAGTGATATAACACAGTAGGGCATGCATAAAAAAAAGAGGACAGTGACAAACCCATTCCCGAACATCTGATGAACCAAGCAAATAAGAAAAGAAAAAGGAGAGGACAAGAGTGTGTGCAAGGTAGATGGTGAACAAAAGGGCGCAGAGGCCGAAGTCGAACTCTGTCACCACGAGGGTATCTCTGGCACAGGCGCGCGTGCGTGGCGGTGATGAGGGTAGAGGAGATGTGAGTGATGGTGCTGGAGAGGAGGAGGGGGGTAGGTATCACAGAGGCAGTCAACACGGCTTCGGGTTGTCGGGTATTGTGCGGTGCAGTGCAACAATCAACAACAGACAACGGGGCGTAAAACAACGCAGCAGAGCAAGCGCGAGGATTTCTCATCACATCTGGTGAAACATACCGACTTCTTCCCCGCCTCCGGGAGCGGTGTTGTGACCCATGTGACCCATGTTACCCATTCCAGGCATCTTGGCTGCACCTCCCGCACCCATGCCACCCGGAGCTTGAGGCATGCCTGGCGGGCTAGGGCCGGACATGTGGGATCCGGGGTGGGGTGGCTGTGATACGCTCTTCCGCGTGTTGAGCTTCGCCTGTCGTCGGACCCTTCGGCTCCGCAGTCTCGGATCTTGGTTACTGTTCCTCCAGCTGTCAACCGCACGCTGGATCAGACCACGCTTGCCTCGCAGAGAGGGGTTTAGCTGAGCCAGGGCCCAGCCGACCGTGTTGCATTCCGTTTCGTACACCTGTCGGTTGCCCCTGTACTGGTCCTTGGGGCAGCAGGCCCGGGGATAGACACAGTTCTCCGTTTTGAAGTCGGCAGACAGCTCGTCCGTGTTGACCGACTCGACGTCACAGCGAATCGTGTATTCCATCTTGACGCGATCCCGAGAATACTCAAACGCGATCCATTGGACGCCGTTCTGGTCTTGACGAACGACCAGGGGCGTGGTCGCGGGGATAGGACCAGGCGCCGCGTTGGGGTTGACAGCTCCCGACGTCGAGCCCGTAGGCGTGGACAGAGCCGTTCCGTTCGGAGGGTGCGGGCTGTGGCTCATTGGGGCTGGCTGAGGCTTCTGCAGCTGGTGGGGCACCTGCTGCTGCTCCTGCTTCATGTGCTGGTGGCGGGGGCTGTTTGCCATCTGCGCCTGAGCCTGCGCTTGCGCCTGAGCATGCTGGGATGATTGTTGCTGCTGCTGTTGCTGCTGTTGCTGCTGCTGGATTTGAGGCTGCTGCTGCTGCTGCTGCGCCTGCGGCATCATCATGCTCTGCTGCGACGGCATGGACGGGTGGGCCTGTGCAGTGTGTTGCGCGTAGGGCGACTGCTGGGACTGGGCCTGCATCGACGGGTAATGGGGCTGGTGCGGCGGGTAGTACATGTTTTGTTGAAGATGCTGCGAGGGAGGCTGCGCGTAGATACTTCGGTGCTGATCATGCTGAGAGGGCGAAGCAACAGAGGCAGGCGAGTTGGACTGCGGCGTATGGTATGACATGGGCGGGTAAGGTGGTCTCGGCATTTGAGCGGCGGCCATCATGTCGGACGTGTCTAGAGAGAATTGTTAGCGATCCCCGAGGCCGTGGTCAAAACAACGCGTCTTGACGCGTCGTCATGTCAAGATGGAGACTCACCTGCGGATGTGTATCCGCTGGTCGCGCCGGGCGTGCTGTAGGGGCTCGGATGAGTGTAGTATGGCAGACCGCCGTCTTGAGGATGCTGTGCGCTGCTCGGTTGAGCGGCGGACTGGTGGTAGGCAGGTGCGATGGAGTGTCCTTGCGCGTAGGCGGAAGGGTGTTGGTGTTGCGACTGCGGCTGGGAATGGTGTTGCTGATGAACCACGCTCGAGGGTCGCGGGTGCTGGGGATGCGGTTGCCGTTGCAGATGTTGGTTAGGTGCTTGACCCTGTTGCTGATGGTGGGGGTGATGCTGCATGGAGACGGTTCCTATTAGTCCCTGGCTCTACACATGAATGTTGCGACTCGATGCGACACGACAAGAGGAAGAAAAACAAAAGACAGGACGCGTCGGTATTCTTATTTTCCGGGACCATGACACTGTCAGGGACGGGGGAGGTTTGATGGGGTTCGTCCCCTGGCAGCAACGAGGATCGCACGGGTGAGGCGTGCTAAACCCAGATCGGATGTCGTGCTGATACAAGATGACAGGGGCTTCCACTCTCGCGTACTGCTGCGAAAAAATCGGAGAAATGAAGAGCTCACCAGCCCAAGGGGAAGAGGGGGGGGAAGGGTAGCCAGAGTCCGGGATCAAAGTGGAGGAGGAGTGGAGGAGGGGGACGGGGGGAAGATAGGTACCGCGTCTGCCAAAGAACAGCGATGAAGAGCTGGCTGGACCTGTCAGGCTGCTGCCCACACGACGAGGGGGAGTGGACGGCACCCGGAAATCGAGGCCGAAGTGAAGGGGGAGGCGAACGTCCGAGGCGACTGGTCAGGGTAGAGAGGCTCGGGGGACCAGGGCGAGGAATTGGGCGATCGGGATATGGGGGCGATGGAGGGGGGCACGGGGGATGGACAAGCAGGCAGGGTACGGAGAGGTATTTGAACCAAAAGAATGGGGAGTTGGAGCAGGGTGTGATTTGGTGTGGGCTGGCAAGTGCCTACTGCTGCCGTTTCGGTCTGGTGCTCGCAATTCCTTACTTGGAAGGGCTTGTTGCACTTGGTGCCAACGTATGCGTGCCTCTGGAGAGAGAGAGGGAGAGAGAGAGAGAGAAAGAGGGAAAAAGCTTGGATGAAGAGTGTGATGCTGGCGCGCCAACACTCTGCTGCTGCTTCTAGACGCTTTCCTTTTCTTCCTCGGTGCAGAGCAACGAATGTGGTAGAAAAAAAAAAAAGTAAACCAGATGGGCTTCTCTGGGCACGATTTGACAAGAGTGGATGGAATGAATGGATGGCAGAAGGGGTTCGGCAGGCCGGGGCAGGGGGGAAAGTGCTGGGGAGGCGTGTATAATAGTGGATGGGCAGAGCAGCGAGCAGAGCCAACAGTGGAGGCAGGGTCCAGGGAAGGACCACAGGACCACAGACAAAACGCAGGCGTCGAGGGCGAAAAGGGGGGGAGGGGTGCGACCAGCAGTGGCATGTGTGTGTGCTACGGCTGCCAGCACAAGGGCAGGCGCAAGTGGCAGAGCGGTCGGACGGTAAGGCAGGAGCAGACCGTTGGGTAGCAGGGGTCACAGGGGGGGATGGACAAGGCAGGGGGGGATTGGAGTGGAGATGTGGGAAAGTGCAGGGGTGCAAGGCAGGCGTTGGGTAGGACAGCGCATGGAAGAAACGTGACAGGGGTCGTCTGCATTTCAGATTGAGTGGCCAATGGCGGCATCCACTTGGAGGGCCGGCCAGGAGCAGCTGCCCAATAAGGCAAGCAGAGGCCGGCACTAGCCAGCGGACCAGGGTGATACCGGCCTCGTTTTCGTAGCCGGCCCACGGGATCAGGTCAGGGGGCGAGCGTCCACCTGGCCAAGGGGCGAAGCGAGACGAGGCGCGAAGTAACCCAACTTGGGTACGTAGCTTTCGTCAAGCCACCCACCGCCATTGCTTGTCTCCCGAGCTCGTCGCCCTCGCCCCTCCAATTCCCCTGGTCCTTCTAGCGCCGGCGACCGCCATAGGCGGTGTGGCCCTCTGGTGCACTCGCGCCAGAGCGGGTGGGGGGACACGCTTTTCTGAAAGGATGCCATGCCATGCCGTGCCAGGCTCACTGACTTGCTCGGCCTTGGCTCATCATGCTTGTCGCGCCTCGCCATGTAACACCCGTGATCCCGCGCCCTGTGGCCCATACGCTATGCCGCCCCAACCAGCCGCTTGGGATTGGCTGTCCACTCTGGCGAAAAGGGTTGCCGTGTCTCCCTGCCATCGACTGCCAGCCTCTTGGGTGCCTGTCTGGCCGTGTGCCCATGTAGCAGTCTCCCACGCCGGCAACAAAGCAGCGTACACAGCGCGACGCACGCCATCGTGGAAGCCCCGCCAGCAACCCCCACTGGTGAGTGGCGGGCGACACTGCTTGTACCGAGACACCGTAGGCGCATGTCCAAATCTGAATCAATAGCACCAGCGAGAACGCCAGCGCAAAAAATGACGAAGACGAGGAAGGCAAAGGCTAGGCAAGGGGAGCGGGGGTCGAACCAATGGCCATCGAGGGGCGGGCACCCAGGGGTTGTCCTCGACACGGCCGCATCGATTGGGCCATTTGAGACGGGCGTCCCACCCCAAAGGCGGATACGCCGGGGGATATGCGAGATTTGCTATCCACTTGCCAGCATCAGGGCATGCTGCCAAGATATATCAAATCGAACCGACTTCCCGTCGACTTGCCGGCTCTTTGGTCGTCTGAGCCCTAGCTCAACCATCGAGTGCCAGAGATCACGGCCCTCGCAGCCCAATATGACGTGAGGTATGAAGGAACATAAAGGGCTCCTTCAATACCGGCCGCAGCTTTGTGATCCCGTCGACAACTATCGACACCTGAGTCTGCTTGACCAACGAGCGCACCATGTCGGGTACCTTGCCTCGACAAGAAAAAGACAATTGGGGTAATTGGAGGGATCCATGGAGGCGCCGCGGGGGGGTCAGTAGCATGGTGAGGTAGACAGACAGGACGCTGACCCGCAGCCCATGTGAGAGAGTAGCGAGGGAAGAGGGTGGGCGGTGGCTTGGGAGCATCCTGGCTTGCCGCAGGTCCACTCTTTTGTGAAACGGGACTACCCTGTCAATCTCCCACCCTCGAGTCCTGACCTGGTCGACCTTGCGACAGGGTCGTCTTCGTGATCTTCTGGAACCAAAGGAAAACCAAGCCAACGGCGCGCCCATGACTCCACGGCTGTCGCGCATGGATGTGTCCGAAACCAAAGTTGACACGCAGTGCCGGCGCGTCAATTCGACGAGCACCACGAGCGTGTTGCAACACATCCATTTGACGGACACGCCGAATTGCGGCCCTTCACGATGGCCGTGCCTTTCTTTGCATGCAGGCCAAGTGGATGGGTGACGTGAGCCGTGGAGAGGTTTGCGACGGCGGCGCACATGAGTCGTGAAAATTGGATTTGACCAAAGGAAAAATGAATAGTAATGCAGTGGAGGATAGGAAGCTTGCGAGGAGGAGCATGGAGATGAACAGAGAGTTCAACATACCGGGTCAGCTTGTTCGTGTTTGAAGTGGCCCGAGGCCTGGCGTTGTTGATGAGCCATTGCTGCGATGGTCATGAGTTCGACTTCTTAGCGAACGGGTCGTGAGAGCTTCCCCTGCACACCTGTTAGCGTCTGTCATCCGTTACTGTCGAACCTTGACCCCTGACAGGCATTGATGCCAGCTCGATGCCCCAACAGGGTGTCACAACAACGGGGATGTTCGATGCAGTCAGTCCGTTCATGGCCTGATATCCACACATATTTGAGGAGATCTCTCAGCCGAACAAGAACATGACCCCGCTGAGGCTATTCGTGGTGCAGGGAGCTCTTTCAAATCGTCTGAACAGACTGGCCGAAACGGGACATGCATGGTGGTACAGGCAGTCAAAGAACATCCAAGTCGGGTAAACTCACTGCTCAGACGTCGTAATCGATGATTTAGCGCGCTTCGCTACTGCTTCTTGCTTTGAAAGCGCGATATCACTCTAGACCCAAGTTAGCGAAAGGTTCATGTCCACAGACAAGTAAATAGATTGCACGAAGGTCATGCACCCGCGACTGACGCGACTCAAGTCTGAGCCCGGTGTGAGTAGCGGAGATTGGATGCACCAATCGCCGTTCCTCTCCCAGAGTCGAATCGGGCGAGAGGGCAGATGAGATACAAGCAACAAAGGAATGGTGTGAGCGCTGTGGACAGTGCACCTTTCGCGAGGCCCGTCTCGGTGCTAGCGGAGATTCGGTCGTGAAATTCGTTCATGCACAACGGGGGATGAACTCGGAGACTGGTGTGGCGTGTAGCCCATACATACTCTTCCAAGTGAACAGAATTCGACGGCGTCGTTGACGATTAACGGCCACGGCGCAAGCGGTGCGCCTGGTGGAAAGGCTCGTTGTGGCAGGAGTAGTGGCTGTCAGGCCCCTTTGTGGAGCTAGGGGAATTGCGTGGTTGAATGTCGTCTTGCCCACAGTGTCTGTTGAGCCACGTTCCCGGGTCGACAGCAGGTCAGGACGGTTTTGGTAGCGCAAAAATAGCCAAATGGTCGGTTCGGGAATCCGTGCCAGTCCCTGAGCCTCAAGTCCTTATGGGCAAGGGGGGGGGCAGATAGATGGGCGTGGTTGACTGTACGGGGGACGCGCGGGTGCCTGGGCTTGTCTGCACACTGCAGATGGCTTGTGCAGCGTCTAGGGGAGGGGTTGATGTGGTGCTGTCACGAGTTAGTCCCTGCAGAATGTGTCCAAGCAGAACGAGTGCACTCCCTGGAGCCTGGAGCCTGGGGGACGGGGTGGAAGGGACTGGACATGGAGTGCAGGCCTGGATGTGTAGGGGTTTGTGCAAGGGTATGCTGAGGTGGTACGCACAAGTTGTGGTGGCAATGCTGGGCGGTTCAGAGACAGAGGGGACGGCCGGGGACTGCAGAGCGGGAAAAAGCCTGTCAGACCGCTAGCCGGCAGCGCGAGTTGGTTATGACGAGGATGAAAGAGGACCGAATGAGAGAAGGGAAGGGGAAGGGGGCTGACCCAGGGAAAAGAAGTCGGCGGGTATTTACAGGAGTAGGGAAAGGGGAGTGATGGGATGAGCGACCGGGCCACGAGCCACGGAAAAGAGAATGGGACAATGATAACCCAAAATCCCGAGTGTAAGGAGCCCATCCAGAGGCCACTCGGCACATTTTTATTAAGGAGGAGCTGGGATGTGACGGGCTGCAGCTGGGGGGCGTCGATGGGACAGGCGAGGAGGGGTGGGTGTGGGCGACGTCGTAGCAAGTGGTGTGTGATGCCGCGACCGTGCATCCTCTG